TCCAAACGGGGAATCAGAACCGACAACAGACGCTCGAACGAAGTCAATCTCAAATAAGAGCGACCATTTCACGAAAGATTTATTAACATAAAACAAACCCCCAAACCCGAAGCCACCAAGTTTACAGAGACCACGATCCTACTACGCCAGAGAGCACAGACACATGAGAAGCAAACAAAGACAAAGCTCACCCCCGTGAAGCCTCAACAGACTTGTTGGGGCAAGGGCCATGAGGAACGAGGAGCAGCACCTATGAAGGCCGCCACGGCACACGAGGGGGCAGGTGGCCAGCATCACGCCCGACCACCTTTGTCTCCCCAGTGGCGAAGTTTTTACTACACACCACCGCACCAGGTACTCATTTTAGGCTGAGTAGACCTAGGGCAGGGGTCGGCAACCTACGGCTCCGGAGCCGCATGCGGCTCTTTACGGGCTGCTTCTTGACGATATGTACGTATGTACAGTATGTACTCAGATGCATTGCGGCTCTTGAAATACTGAATTTTGTACCGAATTGGAAAGAAATGGCTCTTCTTGTTATTTTGGTTGCCGACCCCTGACCTAGGGGGAGGAGGCTCGGGACCGGTTGTTACAGATAATCGCGATTACCGGCGTTGGTGGCAGTGAGTGCAGCGCGCTGCCCCCCCCCCCCCCCCCCCCCCCCCCCATATGATACAAAGATCCCTCCTCTGGAGCCCTTAACAGACTGTTGGGGTCAAATACCGCTATCGAGCAGCACCTACAAGATAATTCTCACAAGCCTCGCAATGCCTTTGCTACGCACTAAAACAGCAGGCTACAATCAGCGCGATGCAGAGGCTCACGTGTTCAGAATCCAGTGGCCGCCCTGGACAATCCTTCGGCGTGGGTGTTTGACCTTGAGATTACTACAACTACTAATACTGCTGCTGCTGCAGTACTGCTACCGCACGCGAGATAGCATGCGTCGTCAGGGTCGGGATCAAACCCACGACCTCCTGCATTCCAGGCAAGGTAGTCAATATCTAGCCACCCTGGTGCCCCTAATCGAGGGGAAAGTGGTGCTCGGCGGATGGTATTGAATGTTGAGACCAGTGTAACAATCGGCTAAAGTGACAAAAGTGTCTTGCCCAGAGAAGCCGAGGATTTAACGAAGATGGTAAAAGGAATTACCCTTGTCGGCCAAGGCTGTGATATCACTGCATCGCGTTCTATATGTATGTACGTTGAATTTCTTTCACACCACACATAGCCAACCGTTGCTCATGTGAGGTGCCAGATGATGCATGTACATTAAACTTCTTTCGCATTGCACGTAGACAGCCATTGCCAATGGGAGGTGTGGGATGTTTGTACGTTGAACTTTTTTTGCACCACAAATTGGCAACCGTTGCTAATGGGAGGTGCCTTCTTGAGCGCTGATGCACGCTCCACGCGTTGTGCAGGATTTCTTTAACTTGGTTTGTGCTTTCTTTTTGTGTGCACGCTGGGTGAACTCCACACAGATGGATAGAGTCCTGACCCTCTTGGTGTTGTGTGGCGCCGATTCTGAATCGTGTTTGCCGGCGTCACGGGTCAAATATGAAAAGTTACACCGCAAAAATAACGATGCTCAAATGCACTCCCTATAACTACTAACAACCTTGCAGGACCCTCCTGATAAGTCTTGATACTCATCTACGCTTGCCTGGGTTAACAAGCAGAATAATAATAATGCTTAAACAATATTCACTGCGTTATTGGTCTTAGCGTCACACTCCACAGGAGGTGAATTACTCTGCTAGCTGGTAAAGTACTCGTACAGGGCATGGCGCGCAGTGGCAACGCTTGCATCTCAGCAATAAATGCTTGGGTTTGATTCCTGACTCGGGCATATTTCTGTAAGTTCTCCCCCTGTTCTGCAAAGTGAGGGACTGTAGTTTGTATGATCTCCCCCTGTTCTACAGTGAGAGTGAGTGGAGTTTGTATGATCTCCTGGACCAGCAGGGTCCCCTGTCGTAGCCATAGCAGGCAGGGCTATGGCCTCTACGTAAAAGCAGTCAACCTGCGCTACCGTACGCTTGGGTCCCAAATTCTGGAACGTTCCTTTTTAGATCGTCCTCGTCACAAGCAACAACAAAAAAAGACTTGGCTATAGGCATACAGAATGTCAGCTCTTTAGCCCCCTTCTAATACAACGTGAACATGTTAGATCGCTCACTCAGGTGGTCATCTACATGTGGTATAAAAGACAAAGACTTCCCCATGTACCCTCAATGTACTGTTGGGGCAAGCGACGTTCGCGAGTAGCACCTATGAAGACCGACCATCAGGCGTCTACGGACCAGGGAACCATCTCCTGTAGTACCCTCGCAGACCACCAGGGGTCGTCTCTCTCATATAGTATCCTCAAGGACTCCCCTGGAGTATCCTGGCAGAGGTCCGCGGATCCCTGGTCTCTCGGAGCGTGGCGACGGATTGTACCTGGTGAATCGAGGTGTCCGTACTCGTCTAGTAGAAGTCCTCTACTTGGTATAGACCCCTAAAACTAAACATTTATTTTATCAGATCAGGCTCACTGAGCTGTTCTGTGGATTTTTTTCAGAAGCGACTTATCACGAATGATAGCTCAACGAAGCAGCTCATCATGTGGAAAAATACAGCAGACAAATACTCTAAAACGATGGATTGTTCATTCTAAATGTCGTCAGACCAAACCCACGACCTCCTGTATACCAGACAAGGTAGTGAACATCTAGCCACTGTGGCACCCCTATCCTAACTGCCCCGTGTCTCAACTCGAGTATCGGAGTTAGGAAGTCGTAAAGTCGGTTTGTACTCTGGTCCCTGTTTTTTGCATTTTTACAGTTTTTGAAAGCTATAGCCAAATGACTTAACCAGCTCTCCCCTCATTCTAAGACATCATTAGAATTCGCACTGCTCGCTCACGATTGTCTTACAGCAAAGGGCGGTAAAAACCAAAGTAACGAGACAGCCATATGTATCGAATTCGGTAGGAAACAAAAAAAACCCTCAATATCGCCGCGACGCGAAGATAGCGAATATGAGATGGCGGCGCTCAATAAACGACATCACAAAGCGGTCTCTTAAAGGGCCACACGGCGCCTCCTGAGCACGCAGGTTGCTGGATCTCCCTGGTCTATGGTACCTAAGGTAAGACTCCACAAATATGGGTGAACGTTTGTATGTTAAAGTTCTTTCGCACCACCAGTACGTAGCCAACCGTGCTAATCGGAGGTGCGGGGGAAGGACTACAAACTAAACACAACAAGCAATTCTAAAGAAATGAGTTTGTCAATCTAGGTGATTTAAAAGTGCATAGCTCCAGTGGTTTCCTAATATCGGAAGGAAGAAACCCAAAGAGATCCAGAGACTTATATAGAACCATAGAAACCCATTCTCCGATGTATATATGCTGAACTTCTTTCGCACCGCCACACGTAGCCAACCGTGCTAATCAGAGGTGCGGGGGGAAGGACAACAAACTAAACAGTACATCACAGTGTCAGGCGGTATAGCCAGCTCAACATCATCATCAGCCATGTTCAAGCCACTGCTGGATGACAGCCTCCCCATGCTGCACGCTATTTTTTGTTCTGTCCAAAACGTTCAATCGCACGGCGAGGGTGATTTTAAAGTTTGTTTAGAGGGTACTGCCACTGGGATTCGATCGTAAAAAACACACGGAAGAGCAAAGCGGGAGAGGGGGGTGGTGGAGTGATTGGATTTCCTTTGAAGGAATTAGCGTTCATGTGCGTGTGTTGAACTTCTTTCGCACCACCGTATGTTTGCCAACCGTACGAATCGAAGGTGGCGGGGGGGGGGGGGGGACAACAATAAACACGGAGAGAGACGCACAAACCCCAAATATACAGCAACAGGTATCAAGGGTCGGGATGGGACCCACGACCTCCTGCATACCAGGCGAGGTAGTTAACATCTACCTATTCTTAGGTTTTTTCGGTAAAGTCACGTAGGTAAAAAAATAAAAATTAATAAAAGTAAAATAAAATAAAATAAAAATCACGACGTTTCGGAGGCAACACAAACCTCCGTCTTCAGGTGGAATTTATTTTATTTTAATTTAACTTTTAGTATTTTTTATTTTTTTACCTACGTGACTTTACCGAAAAAACCTAAGAATATGAATCCTTGCAGTCACGAAAGCTTCAAATCTAGAATTAACATCTACCTAGCCACCAACACGGAAATGGCGCCGATGGAGAAAAAGCCCGAGACCACGTTGGAGTTCGCGACGTCGCCGTGCCCGTGCCGGACCCGCTGCCCGGGTGTGCAATGTCATTGCGTGCCGCGCGCAGAGATCGAAACTCGCGATGCTAGTTGCCGACGAGAGCTCCACGCGACCGCTCCACCGCCGCGTGTGAACGGCTTCGCTCCGTCGATGAGCCGCTGATTTGTCTACAGAGCGCTGCGATAGGAGCCGGCGTCAGACGGCAGCCCTGACCTGTCCATCGCTCGACCGATTCGATCAAAATAAACCCGACAGCTCGGCAAATGATTTCCCATTCTTCGCATGGGCAAGGGCCCTTCCCTCTCGTTAAGGAAATGGGCTCCTACGACTATAATCTACACGTCCCGTCTGCCCCACAGCCTTCTGGGGAGCGCGTCATTTCAGCAGCACTTGTTCAGCATGAAACAAAACTGTGCACCGATTTTGACACCAAATGTCTCATCAGCAGTCATGCTTGCCTGAATCAATGCTGTTGAATTGCCCAGATGTTTATAGGCTAGGACCAGTCTCATCATTACCACCAGCAGAGTCAGGCTCTGCTTGAACCAATGTTCCAGGTGAACCCTGCCAGTCGTCTCCCGCGCCGTGCCAGATACGAGTCCTAGTCGGATGCCAAACCGCAGCACACGGCACGGCACACGGCACACCACACGCACGAGAGACGACGCCGAGCGACTGAGCGGCTAACCCATCGCTGGCGCACACGCCTGGCAACGAGCCCGGCACTACAATATAAACTACACTATACCGGCACGGCCCATTGCCGCGATCACGGCGGCGACTCCACCGTCGTTGCCGCCACCGCCACCGCCGCCGTCACCGGCACGGTGGCGGGCTCCGTGTCGGCGGCGCCGTCACCGGCGGGCGCGGCCTCGTCGTCGTCGTGGGCACGGGCGGCGTGCGTGAGTCGGTGCCTGTGCAGCGTGGCGGCCTGCGCGAAGGAGCGGCCGCACTCCCCGCACTCGTGACGGCGCTCGTGGATGACGGCCGTGGCTCCGCCGGCGGAGGCGGCGGCGGAGGCAGCGGCGTGCCGACGCTCGTGGGCGCGCAGGTTGGAGAGCTGGGCGAAGGCGCGGCCGCAGTCGGCGCAGGCGTGCGGCCGCTCCCCCGTGTGCGTGCGCTCGTGCTTGCGCAGCGTGGACATGAGGGTGAACGCTCGGCCGCAGCGCTCGCAGACGTGCGGGCGCTCGTGCGTGTGCGTGCGCAGGTGGACCTATCCGTGGGTGGGGGGCAGAAGGAGGGGGGGCGGGGAGGGAGCACTGTTTAACCTTCCTTTCTCTGCCCCCCCCCCCCCCTCCTCCGCCCCTCACCACCTCACACGAACTCCGGTCATCCTCGCAGCAGCAGCAGTAGCGGCTTTTGACGAACCATCGAACAAACACGGTCACCGCATCATCGCAAGCTTTCAGATGCTATATAAACTACACTGTACACTACATTATACACTACACTATACACGACACTATACACTACACTATACACTACACTATACACGGCACTATACACTACTATACACGACACTATACACGACACTATACATGACACTTTACACGACTGTACACTACATTATACACGATACAGTACACACTACTATATACTACATTATACACGACACTATACACTACTATACACGAAAATACACTACACTCCTATACACTACATTATACACTTCACTATGCACTACAATCCTATACACTACACTACTATACTATAAACTATGCTATACACAACTATACACTACACTACTATAAACTACACTATACACTACACTACTATACACTACTCTACTGTACACTACACTATACACTACACGACTATACACTATAATATATACTGCTATATGCACCACTATACATTACACTTTTGGCTTACCGTCGAAAGCGCACTTTAGTTGCGCTTATACGGCCGCCTGGAACGCCACCGGGAGCTATGTACTTTTAAATCATCATACAGATTGATAAACTAATTTCTTCAGAACTTCAGAACTGATTATTTCCCCACACCTTTGATGAGCATGGTTGGCTATGCACAGTGTTGCGAAAGAAGTTCAACATACACACATACACAGAAACCCACAGAGGCACAACACACACACATAACAACAACCGTCATTGTCCATGAAGTGATAGTGACGTTACCATGGCGCTTGTGCCAGACTATGTGCACATTAAGGCCACGTGAAGTGTCGAACACCTGCCTGCAGGAGGTCACAGGATAGGCCAAGGGGCCATGGGTTGACTGAGATGACTGGCTGATGCACCACCTGTGCCCCCTACTGTGCCAACTTGCTGTGTTTTAGCCACCTCCCACTCTGCTCATTGCTGTGAGCGTCGCTCCTCTGCCTCCGTTGTTGCTGGAGGGCGACTGCCTGCAACTGCTCAGTAGCGTCCTTCACGAGCCTCCTCCACAGAGGCCGATCTTGACACCGCTGGTACCAGTCAAAGGTAAGTCCACTCAGCTCCATATCATATCATGCAACATCATTCCATCTATTCTCTAGCCCATGCCACGCCCATTTAACCCCCTCTATCTTGCCAAACAAAAGCTGTTTGGGCATGCGGTGGCTAGGCATGCAGGCTACATGACCCAGCCAACGCAGCCTTGCCTGCCAGACGAGCTCACCGATGGGACTGTGTTCAGATCTTTCAAGGATTTGTGAGCTGCTCACACAATCCAGCCTGGTTAAACCCAGGATGGATCATAGGCAGGCCAGCCTGAATGTTCATCACCAGCGAAGATGTCCCATTAGGGGGGTCTACATTTCACAAGCATAGAGAAGGGAGGGAATAACTGTGGCCGAGAAGACCTGAAGCAATGTATGGAGCGAAAGGCCAAGTAGCTTCCACACAGCATTATGCAGCCGATGAAAATATAATGCTACTCGACTGATTCAGAGTGAGACCTCTGCTGTCAAACTGGAACTGGTCATAAGCACACTGCTCAGGTACGGGAACTTCTCCACTCTCTCCACAAATGCCCCGCCAATAGAGTTGTTGGGGTGGAGTGTCTGATGGTACTAAATACCCAGGCAGGTACTTAGTTTCGGTGAGGCTGATGGTAAGGCCCCACCTCTTAGTGGCACACTCCAGGTTCAGCAGCAGCGCCTCCAACTCCTCCTCTGATTGAGCAGCTTTTACCAGATCATTGGCATCCATTACATAGTTGACCCATAGGGAGCCATCCCTTGACCCCACCCAGGTATCAATAAGCCTCCTATTGTATCAGTACCAGATGGAAATTCCTCCGGTACAGCCATCGAAAGCTTCACGAACTACGTGGTCAAAATAAATGTTAAATAATGTGGGAGCCAGAGGACATCCCTGTCGCACCCCAAGGTGAACAGGGAATGGCTCCAAATCCCAGCCAAACCTCCTGAATACCACAGAGATCCAGGCCATACCGGTCCAGCTCCCAAAAGAAGAGTGGCAGCCTCTCCTCCGCAGTGAGCATTCGGACATCTCACGTGGCCACACGCAGTGGCTTTTTGTTGTTTCGGGAGGAACCCCGAGGGTAAGGATTCAGTCTCCTGGCTCTGCCAAATGGAGTTTGGCCAGGAAACGTCATAGACGCCTGTCCCCTCGGGGCCTCTGACACTCCACACATGCATGCACACACGCACACCACACATACACGCACACCACTACACACACATTCACACACACACCACCATACACACATGCACACTACCAACAACAACAACGCACTCCCACACACCACCACATATGCATACACACACAAAGTCACACCACCACACAAGCCCACACACACCACACACCACGCACACACACCACACACGCACACACACGAAACACGCACACCACGACACATGCACGCACACCACCACACACGACCGTACACACACACACCACGCACGCACACCACACCATACACGCACACCACCACACATGCACACACACCACACATGCACACCACCACACACGCCCGCACACACCACACACGCACACACCACACACCACACACGCACACACCACACACGCACACCACCACACATGCACACCACCACACACACACACGCCCGCACACCCCACACACGCACACACGCACACACGCACACACCACACACCCCACCCGCCCCCCACAGCGGGCCCCGTCACCCCACCTTGAGGTTGGAGAGCTTGGAGAAGCCCTTGCCGCACTCGGGGCAGGCGTGGGGCCGCTCCCCGGTGTGCGTCCTCCAGTGCTCGCGCAGGTTGCACAGCTGCGAGAAGGAGCGGCCGCACTGCTCGCAGGCGTGCGGACGCTCGCCTGTGTGCGTGCGCCGGTGCTTGTCCAGCGTGGCCAGGCGCATGAAGCCGTCGCCGCAACGCTCGCACACGAAGGGCCGCTGGGCCGCGTGGGCCGCGCCTCGGTGGGCCCGCAGAGCCTCGGCCCGCGAGAACTCCTCGCCGCACTCGGCGCAAGCGTGGGGCCTCCCGCCGGGCGGGTGGGCGCTGCGCTCGTGCCGCTCCAGCGCCGGCGCCTGCGCGAAGGTGCGGTCGCACGCCCGGCAGGCGTGAGGCCGGCGGCGGCGGCCGTCGGCGTCGGCGGCCGCGGCGGCGTGCCGCCGCTGGTGCTTGCGCAGGGCGGCGAGTTCGGCGAAGGCGCGGCCGCACTCGGCGCACGGGTGCGGCAGGGCGCCGGCGTGCGACAGGCGGTGCAGCTTGAGGCCGTAGCCGCGGGAGAAGGCGCGGCCGCAGTCCGTGCAGGCGAAGGGACGCTCGCCGGTGTGCGCGCTGCGGTGCTTGAGCAGCGTGGACGGATGGGAGAAGGAGCGCCCGCAGTCGGCGCACGTGTGCGGGTGGTCGCTCAGGTGTGTGCGCAGGTGCACCTGGCGCAAGCACGTCCCGGTTTAGACATCGCGGCGCGCCACATCTCGTCACCGTCGCTCCACGTGGAGCTTTTGCTTTCTCACTCACTCACTCATATACTCACACACTCACACACTGACTCTACCACTCACTCACACACTCACTCACTCACTCTACCACTCACACACTCACTCACACACTCACTCTACCACTCACTCACTCATATACTCACTCACTCACACACTCACTCACACACTCACTCACACACTCACTCTACCACTCACTAACACACACACTCACTCACTCTACCACTCACTCACTCACACACTCACTCACACTCACTCACACACTCACTCACTCACACACTCACACACTCACTCACACACTCACTCACTCACCACTCACTCACTCTACCACTCACTCACTCACACACTCACTCTACCACTCACTCACTCACACACTCACTCACACTCACTCACACACTCACTCACTCACACACTCACACACTCACTCACACACTCACTCACTCACACACTCACTCACTCTACCACTCACTCATATACTCACTCACTCACACACTCACTCACACACTCACTCTACCACTCACACACTCACTCTACCACTCACTCACTCATATACTCACTCACTCACACACTCACTTACACACTCACTCACACACTCACTCTACCACTCACTAACACACACACTCACTCACTCTACCACTCACTCACTCACACACTCACTCACACTCACTCACACACTCACTCACTCACACACTCACACACTCACTCACACACTCACTCACTCACACACTCACTCACTCTACCACTCACTCACTCACACACTCACTCTACCACTCACTCACTCACACACTCACTCACACTCACTCACACACTCACTCACTCACACACTCACACACTCACTCACACACTCACTCACTCACTCACACACTCACTCACTCTACCACTCACTCATATACTCACTCACTCACACACTCACTCACACACTCACTCTACCACTCACACACTCACTCTACCACTCACTAACACACACTCACTCACTCACACACTCACTCATACACTCACTCACTTACACTCACTCACACACAACAACAACAACCACCATTCGCCACTAAGTGGCGGTGACATCACCACGATGCTTGTGCCAGGCCAAGTGCACGTTGAGGCCACGTGAAGTGTCGAACGCCCGCTGGCAGGAGGTCACGGGGCAGACCCAGGTGCCACGGGTCGACTGACTGAGATGACTGGCTGATGCATCACAACAACGCGCTCCGCTCATTGTTGTAAGCGTCGCTCCTCCACCCTCCGTTGTTGTTGGAGGGCGACTACCTCCGAACTGCCCAGTAGCGTCCTTGTGTGTTTGCTGTGACCACGTGGTGTTTGCTGTGACCACGTGGTGTGTCCACGGTGTTTGCTGTGACCACGTGGTGTGTCCACGGTGTTTGCTGTGACCCGCAGGAGGGAGAGAGAGATGCGTGCGGACGCGTTGGCCGTGGCACCTTGAGGCTGAAGAGCATGAGGAAGGCCTCCCCGCAGTGCACGCAGGTGTGTGGAGACTCCTCCTCCTCCACGTGCTCCTCCTCCTCCTCCTCGTCGTCGCCCCCTCCACCTTCGCTCACACGCAGGGGCCTCCGCCTCCACCTTCTCCTCCTCGTCCGCTGCTGTGGCCACTCGCTGCTCGCTGCCGGGGAAGTGGGGGGGGTGGTTGTACAGGAGGAGGAGGGTGGGGTAAAGTGTGGGTGCTCCCACCGATTCAAAGATGTCTGGTCCGCGTGGAAGCGGTACCACGGTGGCTAGATGTTGACTACCTCGCCTGGTGTGCAGGAGGTCGTGTGTTCGATCCCGACCCTGACGAGGCCTGCTGCTGTATATTTGGAGTCTGCGTCTCTCTCATCATCATCATCATGGTGGCTAGATGTTAACTACCTCGCCTGGTATACACGAGGTCGTGGGTTCGATCCCGACCATGACACCTGTTGTATATTTGGAGTTTGTGAATCTCTCTGTCTCTCTCCCTGTGATGATGAGGTGGAGCAGGACAAGGCAGGTGGCGTAGTGAATCGGGAATCTGTAACTGCGCGTTGTCACCGTTGCTTTAGATCCGCGTTGTTGAACGATGCCCGCTGCATTTACGTTTACCGAAAGTAACAGTCCTGTACCGAACATCAGTGAAAAATAACTTGGTAGCTCATCAGATTCCTCCAATATAAATACATTTCATGATTCTGTGTGCATGTTGAGGGATGGACAACTGAACAAGAAACGAGTTTCCAATTGAGTATAGTGGTGTAGTGTATAGGAGTGTAGTGCACAGTGTGTATTGTTGTATATAGTGTAGCATGTATTGTAGTGTGTAGTGTTTCATCTCCAATTTTGCCCCATGATCTTTTCTGAGCTGAGAGATTTCCCCTCCCCCAAAGCCTCACAGAGATCCTCAGTAAATCTGCAAATCTGTTCCAGGGGGTCGGAGATCTATCACCTTTCTTTCCCCTGATGGCGATAGGCGTGGCGCTGCAAGTTACTTTTTTGATGGAATAAAAGAGTAACTTGTGATCGCGAGCGACTGAGGCAGACTCCAACTCCTCAGAAACCCGCGACCACCACTTATCCTTGCAGCGCCGCACGGCTCTCCAAACCTCCGAGCAAAGGCCTCCTCATTCTCCAATGTGGGATGCTGTAGACGGTGAGAGTGGGCCTGCCGCTTTTTCCCAGCCAGCTGGAACACCTCGTCTGTCAGCCAGGGTCTCTGGGCAAGTTTGGGATGTGTACCCAAAGCAGCCATTGCAACTGCATGAGCCATAGTACTAAACCTCACCCATTTCCCCTCGGCATCAGGATGCGATGATGAAATTCTCGCTTGCAACTTTTATTAGCTGAGACCAGGCCACTGTGGGTTTGAATGAGGTCCTAGACGAACAGATGACAAGTCAATGGTCAGCGGGCAGATCAGCTCCACGGTAGGTCCTGGTCTCAAGGACATGGGCTCACATCCGCTGTTCTGTCACTATATATTCCAGCAGATATTCTTGCTTGGACCCGGGGTGCATCCATGATGTTGTGTGGATGCGCCAATGCCGGAAATGCGTGTTGGTAATTACAAGCCCATGGGCTGTACAGAAGTCTAGCAGCCTCCTACCGTTGTTATTGAGCTGATCTGGCCGATGCCTTCCAATCATTCCAGACCAGGTGCCAGCGTCATGATCCACTTGGGCATTAAAGTCACCCAACAGGATGACTCTATCCCAGGGGACCACTTTAGCTAGCACCTGTGACAGGAGGTCATAGAAGGCATCTGACTCATCGGCCTTGCCTGCATCTCTCCACTGATGTTCATCTTTGAGGGGGGGGGTATAAGCAACCACCACCACTAGCCTGGGGCTTACAGCTTCCCACACCTCACAGCCATGCTCCTACGCCCCCTTCATTCTTTTGTTCATAAGAAGAGCCACTCGCTGTTGTTTAGCAGTCTCCTGCCCCGAGTGGAGGACTGTCCACTCCTCATCATGACTAGAGCCAGAACCGGTCCACCAGACCTGCTGAATGCCAGATATCCAGGCGGTACCGGTCCAGCTCCCGACAAAGGAGTGGCAGCCTCTCCTCCGCAGTGAGTGTTCGAACATTCCACGTGGCCACACGCAGTGGCTTTTCGTTGTTCCTGGAGGAGCCCCGAGGGTAAAGATTCAATCTCCTGGCTCCGCCAATTGGGGTTTGGCCAGGAGACGTCATAGACGCCTGTCCCCCCGGGGCCTCCGGTACAAGCTTATTAGTTACATATTTATGTTTAATTCGTAGTTTCGTGGTAATGAATTGAAGGTGGAGGGGTTACCAGCCCCGCGCACCTGTCCAGAGCCCCCGTTTAGCCACTGTGGTGGTCACAGACGCCATGAGGGGAGAGGCCAATGGGCATTGGAGCCTCTTGCACGAGCTTAGTTAGATTTTTTTCCACGTAGTTTAGTGGTAATGAGAATCCGCCGACCTTGTCCCCCATCGTCGTCTTCGTCGTCGTCACCGCCGGCGTCGCTCTCCCGCAGCTCCACCTCCACCTCGGCCGTGCTTGGAGGGAGACCCGCCCCCTCCTCCCCCCCCCCCTCATCCCCCTCCTCCTCATCCCCCTCATCCCCCTCGGGCTCCCACTCCTCCCCCACGCTCTCCAGCTTGCCCCTCACCCCCATGCCAACCTCTCCTCCGTCACCTGGGATAGGCGGAAGGGTCAGGGGTCAGAATTGAGCGTATAGAGTGCTTCAAAAAAATGTGAACACACATATGGGACTATCGTTCTTCTTGGTTAATGTGGCTGGTATAAATGTCCACGTGAAAAGCCACTTGGCTGAGCCGCCATAGTTTGTGTTCGGCAGCGTTGCTTCTGAAAAAGAAACTTACAGAGCAGCTCAGCGGAGGCCTTACACCTCGTAAAGGTATAAAAATAAAGTAGTAGGTTTTTACCCTTTCAACTGGTACAAAAACTGACACCTTTATACAAGGCATCATGTTTGCAATAACCACAACACAAGCAGTCAAAATGCAAACAAAAAGAAACAACTCTGATTATGACGATGATATGCACTGTCCTTGAAGTTGATTGGTCCACACCCGAGACAGCTTTTCTTAGAGCCTAGTCTCCATTGGTGTTGGACCAGATGACGCCAAAAGGCGCACAACTCAAAGATAGCGCACTATCAGAGTATTGAGAGCTCGGGGTAAGCATTTACACTGAGACCTCCTTAACTCTGATAGTGCGCTATCTTTGAGTTGTGCGCTTTTTGGCGTCATCTGGTCCAACACCAATGGAGACTAGGCTCTAAGAAAAGCTGTCTCGGGTGTGGACCAATCAACTTCAAGGACAGTGCATATCATTATCATCATCAGAGTTGTTGATTTTTGTTTGCATTTTGACTGCTTGTGTTGTGGTTATTGCAATTTTGTACCAGTTGAAAGGGTAAAAAACCTATCACTATATTTTGCCACTGGTAAAGGAGATGTCTCATAGTGTAAAAATGAAGTTTAGTTTTTAGTTTAACCACCACTGCCACCAGTCGCTCACCCGCACCAGGGTCACTGCGTGCGAAGTCCACCGCTGGTGACGTCTCCTCCTCCACCTCCTCCACCTCCTCTTTGACCCTCAGCTCCTGCGAGGTGGCGCTCGGGTGCCGCGGGTCCATCGCCATGGCGACACGAGGAGGAGGGGTAACCACGGCAACGTCGAACGCCTGCGATGGTTGTAGTTGGTTTTGGTTGTCGTTGGTAGTTGGTAGTGGTTGGTTGTGGTTGTAGTTGTGGTTGGTAGTGGTTGTTGTTGTGGTTGTAGTTGTTGTGGTTGTAGTTGGTAGTTATGGTTGTTGTTGGTAGTGGTTGTTGTTGTTGTAGTTGGTATTGGTTGTTGTTGTTGTGGTTGGTAGTGGTTGTTGTTGTTGGTAGTGGTTGTAGTTGGTAGTGGTTGTTGTGGTTGGTAGTGGTTGTTGTTGTTGGTAGTGGTTGTAGTTGGTAGTGGTTGTTGTAGTTAGTATTGGTTGTTGTGGTTGTAGTTGATAATGGTTGTAGTTGGTTGTAGTGGTTGTAGTTGTGGTTGTAGTTGGGAGTGGTTGTTGTTGTAGTTGTTGTTGGTTGTGGTTGTAGTTGGTAGTGGTTGTAGTTGTGGTTGGTAGTGGTTGTAGTTGGTAGTGGTTGTTGTGGTTGGTAGTGGTTGTTGTAGTTGGTTGTGGTTGTAGTTGTTTACGTGTTTACCCGATTCAACTCGGTAAAGACCCTCGCTTTGTGAATGTTACTTTGTTGTGGTGGTTGTAGTGGTGGTTGTAGTGGTGGTTGTTGTGGTGGTTGTAGTGGTGGTTGTTGTCTCTGTGGTTGTTGCCTATGTAGTTGGTGTCTGTGTGATTGGTTTCTATGTAGTGGTTGTTGTTTATGTGGTTGTTGTTTATGTGGTGGTTGTCTATGTAGCGGTGGTTGTTGTCTATGTGGTTGTGGTTGTTGTGGTGGTTGTTGGGGTGGTGGTTGTTGTTGTCTATGTGGTTGTGGTGGTTGTTGTTGTCTATGTGGTGGTGGTTGTTGTGGTTGTTGTGGTGGTGGTTGTTGTCTATGTGGTGGTTGTTGGGGTGGTGGTTGTTGTTGTCTATGTGGTGGTGGTGGTGGTTGTTGTGGTGGTTGTGGTGGTTGTTGTGGTTGTCTATGTGGTTGTGGTGGTTGTTGTGGTGGTTGTGGTTGTTGTTGTGTATGTGGTGGTTGTTGTTGTGTATGTGGTGGTTGTTGTGGTGGTTGTTGTGATGGTGGTGGTTGTTGTTATCTATGTGGTTGTAGTGGTGGTGGTTGTAGTGGTGGTGGTTGTTGTGGTTGTGGTGGTTGTTGTTGTCTATGTGGTAGTGGTTGTTGTTGTTGTGGTTGTGGTGGTTGTTGTTGTTTCTCTGGAGGAGCCTGCGGCCTCCTCTCTCTGCGGGTCGCTGACTTGGCCACGCGCGGGGTGCGGCGCGGGCGGCGAGATGCGGCACAAGACGCTTTCACTGGCGGTGACACTGACGCTGGTGATGGGGATGTTCTACTAAAGCCACTGGTGATGTTCTCCTAAAGCCACTGGTGGTGATCTACTAAAGAAGCCACTGGTGTTCATCTTCTTGGTTCTTTCGGTAAAGTCACGTAGAAGGAAAATAATAAAAATAAAACATGATTTTATAATTTTATTATTTTCCTTCTACGTGACTTTACCGAAAAGTCTTTCACCATCTGACACTGTTTTAGCCCGATGTATGAGCGTCTTGATAACAGAGGATTTCTGAGCTGGGTGATGATGCGAATCTGCATTCAGATAGGCATCAGTGTGCGTTGGCTTTCTGTAAACGCTGTGTGTTATTTTACCGTTTGGGCCATGCCCAAGTAAAATATCCAGGAACGGGAGTGTGTTCTTCACCTCCATTTCCATGGTGAACTGAATGGCCGGGTTTTGTGCATTGAGATGATTTAGAAAATCGTTAAGTGTATCTTTACCATGTGGCCAGACAACCAAAGTGTCATCCACATATCTAAACCAAAAGGATGGTTTTAATGTGCTCGAGGCAAGTGCTCTGGTTTCAAAGTTTTCCATGTACAAATTTGCTATAGCAGGAGATAAAGGAGAGCCCATTGCTGCGCCCTCCCTTTGTTTAAAGAATTCGCCTCTCCATAAGAAGTAAGTGTTATTTAAACAATGGTCTGCGAGTTTCGGAATATCTTTTGGTAAACCTGTATTCTTTTTCTTGACTTGTCCAAAGCCTTTGATACAGTCGACCACAACACCCTGCTTAGTAAACTAAGTTGCCTCGGTTTCTCCAAACACGCAGTAGAATGGTTAAAAATTACCTCTTTTCTCGCACCCAAACTGTATATTCACAGATGGTTGGAGGTCAAACAGTGTCAAGATAACAAAAGGGGTTCCACAGGGTTCCATCCTCGGCCCCCTCTTGTTCTCTCTTTATGTCAATAACTTGGGCACTGACCTGGATCATTCCAGGGTAAATCTTTTTGCAGATGACACAATACTGATTACTGCTGGCCGCTCTCCGCATGACGTTAAACTCGTCCTGAATACCTCCAAAACCAAGGTGCTATGCTTCTCACCAGGGCTAAAGCAGAACGTTATTTTCCCCCCATTGCATTCCTTAAATAATTATCAAATATAGCAAGTCAAGATCTATAAGTATCTTGGGGTCATCATGCATTCAAAACTGAAATTTGAAGATCACATTGATTATATTGGTAAAAAGACAAAAATAAAAATTGGTTTTCTGTATCGACACAAGCAATGCTTCCCCCCTATGTTCCGTTTGGAATTGATAAAAGCTACCATACTGCCTCTACTTGATTATTGTGACATCGTATACAAATCAGCCCCAAGCACTACTGAAGAAACTTGACTCAATTTATCACTCGGCCTTAAGATTTGCATTGAACTGCCCATATAGTAGTCACCACGGCGATCTCGACATTGGGTCAAACTTAACATCTCTTCATGTTCGACGGCTTGTGCACCAGATCTTATTTATGCACGATGTACTTACAAGACAATCCGCAGATTACCTGTTGGATCTCCTCTCTGTTTCGAAGAACAAATGTGACCTAAGGTCTTCGCTCATTTACCAGCTTCACATTCCTTATTGCCGTACAAATACTGGAGGAAGGGCCTTTGCTATTGAGGCCCCCAGGGTCTGGAATGCTGTTGCCAATAAACTGCAACTTGAATCACTACCTGTGAGATATTCACTCAAAACTGCTCTAGAGGAGTTGTCCACCCCTAGCTGCCACTGCTATTCAGTGGCCTAAAATCAAATGTTTTCGTTCCGGATGACCGCTACAAAGTATGATGTGTTTTGATTTAGTCTGCTGATCTTTAAAGGTGCATTTGAATTTTTTTGATACTCCTACTGCTGTTGTGGAGTGACTCATGCAACCAGTTATGGCTACAGGGTTTGGTGGTACATGTTGTTTATGTCATTTATTGTTAAATTTCGGTCACAGTTCCTATGATCACTGTTACATTGCTTATGGCTTTATTTTGGTGGTTTCGAAAAGTTTTCTGGTTTGGCCATGTTTGTTTGCTGTAGTACGGAGTTAGAATAATGGCTTTAATCTAAGTTGTCTTGTAGTTGTGGTTGTTGTTTGACTTGCATCCCACTGGGATTTTTTCACAGAGCGTTGGTGTACGGTGCTTTTTTCTGTAAGACTTTGCAGTTTTTTCCTGGATTTTTCTGTTTGCGCATAGTCACTTTAAGATGTTTTCTTGTTCATGTTTTAGTTTTTTTGTTTGTTGCGGTTGCACCCGATTCAAGAGCCGAATGGCTCACAGGGCTCTACCTAATAAATGAAACTGAAAAACTGAAACTGTCACCTGCGTCATGGGAAACCACCTGCGTGACACTATGAGACCTCTTTTACCAGTGGCAAAATATAGTAGTAGGTTTTTACCCTTTTAAACTGGTACAAAACTGACACCTTTATACAAGGCATCATGTTTGCAATAACCACAACACAAGTAGTCAAAAATGTAAACAAAAAGAAGCAACTCTGATGATAATGATATGCACTGTCCTTGAAGTTGATTGGTCCACACCCGAGACGGCTTTCTTTAGAGCCTAGTCCCCATTGGTGTTGGACCAGATGACGGCAGAAGGCGTACAACTCAAACACAGTTATAGGAAATTACCTGCGTGACGTCATTGGAAACCACCTAGGTGGCGTCAGGGAAATACCAAAGAACGCGGCCAACGCGGAAACAGGAAGCCTCGCTGTCGTGAACCCCCTCGGCGCCATCGTAATCGTCCGACGTTCCGAGAGACATGGCTATCCGTGACGGTGTTCCCACGGAACCCCCGACGACTCCAGGTGCGCCAGGGTGTGGGGGTGGCGATGATAATAAGAGGAGGAGGGTGTTTGTCTCGTTTGTCTCTTGATGCTCCTGCTGTTGTGGAGTGACTCATGTAGCCAGCTATGGCTGCAGGGTTTTGGTAGTACATGTTGTTTACGTCATTTATTGTGAAAATTCCGTCACAGTTCCTATGATCACTGTTTCATTGCTTTCATAGCCATATTTTGGTGATTTCGAAAAGTGTATTGGTTTGCCCATGTTTGTGTTGTTGTAGTACAGAGTTAGACTGATGGCCTTAAACTAAGTTGTCTTGTGGTTGTTTGACTTTTATGGCTTTATTTTGGTGATTTTCGAAAAGTGTATTGGTTTAGCCATGTTTGTTTGTTGTAGTACAGAGTTAGACTGATGGCCTTAATCTAAGTTGTCTTGTGGTTGTTGTTGGTTGTTTGACTTGCATCCCAATGGGATGTTTGCACACAGCGTTGGTGTGTAACGGTGCTTTTTCTGCAATATTTTGCTGTCTTTTCTTGGATTTTCTGTTTGCACTCAGTCACATAGTCACTTTAAGATGTTTTTTGTTCATTTTTGTTTGTTTGTTGCGGTTGCACCCGATTCAAGAGCCGAATGGCTCACAGGGCTACACCTAATACATGAACTTGGTGTGTCGTCAAGCTCGCCACCACCCGACACGGCCATCGAGGGAGGGTTTGTGTAGGTGCACTTTTACAGCTTCACGCGATCGAACCTCCTCCACCTCCACCACCTCCCCAGACAAGACACAGAGACACGCACACAGAGACACGCACGCGTCATGGGTGGTGTTGGTGGCTAAAGCCCACCACGTCTAAAACTGATGTTGTTGTTGTGCTTGTTGTTGATGTTGTTGTTGATTGGCGGCCATGTTGTAGGCCCCTGGGGATTTCCACCAGAGGCGCAGGGCTGGTGAACCACAAGTCGGCCGCTTTGGGGAAGAATGTTCAGTCGGAGATCACTTGGCGTGTCACTGTGTGTGTGTCAGTGTGTGTGTGTTAGTTTGTGTGTCAGTGTGTGTATGTGTGTGTACGTGTGTGTGTACTTGTGTGTTTATGTGTGTGTTTATGTGTGTGTACGTGTGTTAGTGTGTGTCAGTGTATCATAGTGTGTGTGTGTCAGTGTGTGTGTGTGGTCAGTGTGTGTTAGTGTGTGTGTTAGTGTGCGTGTCAATGTGTGTGTTAGTGTGTGTGTTAGTGTGTGTGTCAGTGTGTCATAGTGTGTGTGTCACAGTGTGTTAGTGTGTGTGTCAGTGTGTGTATGTGTGTACACGTGTGTGTACGTGCGTTTATGTGTTTGTACATGTGTGTTTACGTGTGTGTATGTGTGTACAAGTGTGTGTTTATGTGTGTGTGTGTGTACGTGTGTGTCTGTGTGTACGTGTGTGTGTGTACGTGTGTGTCTGTGTGTACACCTGTGTTTGTGTGTGTGTGTACGTGTGTGTGTCTGTGTGTGTCTGTGTGTGTACGTGTGTCTGTGTGTGTACGTGTGTGTGTGTGTCTGTGTGTGTACGTGTGTGTGTACGTGTGTCTACGTGTGTATGTGTGTGGGGAGCGGTGGTGCAGCGATTAGCACGCTGTGCTACGAACTTGGCGACACCACCAGTGACGATTGTCTGAACCGGTTCTGGGCCTCCCCTAGGTCGACTCAGCCTCAAATGAGTACCTGGTGCGGTGTGTAAAAATATCGCCACTCGGCAGAGACAATGACGACCGGGCATGGTGCTGGCCACCCACCCCTCGTGTGTCGTGCCGGCCTTCATAGGTGCTGCTCGCTAACAGCACTTACCCCTACAGTCTGTTAAGGGAGGTCTTTGTTTTTGTTTCCAGGGTCACAAGAGAAGATTGCTTTGTCACGCGAGGAGGAAGACCAGAATTGCATAAAACCATTAGTCTTGTACGACAAAATCATCAAACGCGCTCGTAAGAAATGCACCTTCACTGAATGAACACCCGAACGCACACACAGCAACAACAACAACAACAACCACCGAGTTGCCGTGCCATCGCCACGTCGCCCGTGCCAGGCTGGGTGCACGTTGAGACTACCACGTGAAGTGTCGAAGGCTCTGCTACTGGCAGGAGGAGGCCACGGGACAGACCCAGCTGGTGCCATGGGGATGACTTGACCGAGATGGCTGGCAGATTTACCACCTGCTGTGCTTCTCCCTACTCCGACAACTCCCGCTGCGCTTTAGCCGCTCCGCTCGTTGTTGTGAGCATCGCTCCTCTGCCCTCCGTTGTTGTTGGAGGGCGACTGCCCCCAACTGCCCAGTAGCGTCCTTCACGAGCCTCCTCCACAGAGGCCGATGTCGAGACCACTGATAGCGCATCCTTCTGTACCACACAAACAAACGCGCAAAGAGACACAAATAAATATCTTGCGTGAAAAAAGTGACCGTATCTACCGTAACCGTAGTGAACCACTCTGCATCATGGGGTGATATATATAGGTGCAGTACTTTCATTGATAATTGTTTTTTTACCCTTCTATCTGGCAACAAAACTGACACCTTTTTACAAGGAGTCATGTTTACATAGACCACAATACCTGCAGTCATAATGCAAACAAAAAACATAACTTTGATAATGTGCGCCAAAAGGCGCCTTTTGGCGTCATCTGGTCCAACCCATGTGAGACTAGGCTCTAAGGAAAGCTGTCTCGGGTGTGGACCAATCAACTTCAAGGACAGTGCACATTATCATAGTTATGTCCTTTGTTTGTATTATGACTGCAGGTATTGCGGTCTATGCAAACATGACTCCTTGTAAAAAGGTGTCAGTTTTGTTGCCAGATAGAAGGGTAAAAAACCAATTATCATATTTTTACTGGCAAATGAGGTTCCCATAGTACTTTCATTGTTTACGTTGTATGTAGTGTATAAAGTACCGTACGCAATATTTGACGCTGAAGTCAAGCTGCATGGTGCTGCCGATCACCGCACCTTTGGAGCGGTTTTGCCGGATCGGCCCGAGACTGCCGGATAATGTTGGAAGCAGCCGGATAATCGGCGATCGACTGTATACGCGCATGGTAAAAATGGACAATGTCTCTATGGACGCACGATGCTGTTGAGGGTGAGATGAGTGTGCGTGTGTGACGGTGCCACCTGACCTACCGACTGTCATCCACAGATTCAACTCGGGCCCCGGAGGGCGTACTCGCAGCTCCGCCTCCTGCACTGCCGGTGACCGTAACCACCGCTACTACACCTCTCAACTTTAAACTATTGAATGATAAGTTAACATCTACCTAGCTAGGTAGATGTTAACTACCTCGCCTGGTATGCGGGAAGTCCGTGGGTCCGATCCCGACCATGATGATGCCTGCTGCTGTATGTTTGAAGTTGGCGTGTCTCTCTTATCATCACGGTGGCTAGGAGATGTTACCTACCTCGCCTGGTATGCGGGAGGTCCGTGGGTCCGATCCCGACCCTGATGACGCCTGCTGCTGTAGATTTAGAGTTCTCCCCGTGGTCGTGTTGATTTTTCTCCGGGTCGTCCCGGGTTTTCCCTCCACATTTAGAAACACATGCGTTTAGAGTATGTGGCTACTGCTATACATTCAGGGGCGGTTTCTTCATTAGGGCGATTGGGCGACGCACCACCAATGTCATTCAACCACAGAGTCACGCTAGCCGTCACTGTCAGCCTCTGGATATAGTCCAATCAGCGTCATGTCACGTTCTGTGGAGTACCGCCTCTTTTGGGGCGATTTCACTACGGCTGAGAATCGCCCCGAGTGGCCCCATAGACTTACATTCAAAGATGTTTTTTTTCGAACGGGGGCGCTCCAATGCATTCTCTATGGCTTCCGGGAGGGCTCGCCCTAACGTGCTTACGTCATCATACGTGCTTACGTCATCATACGTGCTAACGTCATCATACGTAAGCACGTTTCATCCAACAATATAATTTATCGCTACCTAGTGGAATCTTTAATAAAATAAACTTGAGTGGTTTGTTTTAATAGTGAGTATATAAACAAACAAGATGTATTGTAAGAGTCACTTTATTTTTCATTAATATTAAAGAAGTGAAGTTGCCTTTACATGCTTAAGCTGTTAATTTATTCATTGCATGGGTGGACCTTATCCTTATCAATCATCCAGACATTTGCCCCCCCTGAGAGATTTTGCAGGAGCCGCCACTGTATACATTTCCACATGATGATGATGATGATGATACTAAGACACTTGGATGAGCTATCATTTGTGATGGCCAATCGATACATAGCAGCTCAGTGGGATCTTACACCTGGTAACAATAACATCTAACAAAAAGAAAGCATGGCCTTTTCTCCCTTTATGGCACAAATACAGGAGTTGTGTTAAGATGTTCAAACACCAAATAGACCAACACCAATACCCGCCATTCACCACTATGTAACAGAGGCGTTTTTGGGTTTAGATCGCGTTATTTATAAATGTGTCGTAACCCTCCACCACCCGACACGGCCAATCAGTAAAAAAGTGTCACGTTGACAAAGACAAATAGTTCACTGCTTTAGCCCACCGGTGTGTTGAAGCGTGAAACCACCACAACATTTACAAAAAAAAATTTGTGGTTTCACGCTTCAACACACCAGTGGGCTAAAGCAGTGAACTATTTGTCTTTTGTCAACGTGACACTTTTTTACTGATTGGCCGTGTCGGGTGGTGGAGGGTTACGACACATTTATAAATAACGCGATCTAAACCCAAAAACGTTGATTATGAATAATATTGGTCGCGAAAGCCTGCTACGTGTTAAACTAACAGAGGCGTCACCACAGCGCCTGTGCCAGGCCAGGTGCACTTTGAGGCCACGTCAAGTGTCGAAGGCTCGCTGACAGGAGGTCACGGGACAAACGCAGCTGCCCTGGATTGTCCAACAGATGATCGGTAGATGCACCACCTGTACCCCTGCTGTGCCAACTTGCTGCAATTTAGCTGCCCGGTGCTCCGCTCGTTGTTGTGAGCCTCGCTCCTCTGTCCTCTGTTGTTGCTGGAGGGCGACTGCCTCCAACTGCCCAGTAGCAGCGTCCTTCACGAGCCTCCTCCACAGAGTTCCACTCAGCTCCACATCCTCCCGCATCAGTCCATCTCTTCTCCTGCCAATGTCGTTGCCGTTTATATCCCTCTGTGGCCAAACAAAAGTTGCTTGGGCATGCGGTAGCTGGGCATGCGGGCTACATGACCCAGCCAAATAGACACACACACCCACACCCTATGGCAGGACATCATCATGGTCTGCATTAACCACACACACACGTGGTATTTGTGGTATACGCGTTGATACTGTAACAGGTTGTGACGGTAACGCTGCCATACTGGATCGCGGTGATTCCTCGCTTTTTGAGCTCTGTGTTAACCCTTTCCCGTTCCGATGGCGTACACGTACGTCACCAGCGGCTCATCGTTTATTCTATTTAGAGATAGGCGTAGCAGCAGCAGCAGTAGCAGCAGCAGTAGCAGCACCTTTGAATTTAGTTCCTCGCCGCAGAGAACCATAGCAACACGACCGCCGCCACTGCGATAGCCAGCGCCGAAATCTGTGCCACACGCCCTCTCCTACGCACGGACTTTTGCTTCGGGTTCAGTTCCGATTATCTATGTTACGTACGCGTACGGAGAGTACCAACGCCTTTTAAAAATGAAACCAACGGCGTCGCTGCTGCTGCTGCCGCCGCCGCCTCTCTTAATAAAATTAATGACGAGCCGCTTTGCACGTTCTGAAATTCGGTGGTGAACGGGACACCACCCACCCACCCATCCACTAACCCACCCACCCATCCACTCCCATCCTTCACCCACCCACCCATTCACCCACCCACCCACCCCCATCCTTCACCCACCCTCCATTCATTCATCCATTCAGCCATCCACCCATCCACCCATTCATCCACCCACCCACCCACCCTCCACCCATTCATCCATTCACCAACCCACCCATCCACCTATTCACCTGCCCATACACCCACCCACCTCCCCATCCACCTACCTACCCACCCTCTACCCATTCACCCACCCTCCATCCATTCACTCACTCACCCTCCATCCACCCATTCATCCACCCACCCATCCACCCACTCACCCACCCACCCATTTATCCACCCACCCATTCACCCACCTTCCCACCCACCCTCTACCCATCCATCCATCCACCCATTCATCCACCCACCCATCCACCCACCCACCCATCCACCCACCCATTCATCCACCCACCGATTCACCCACCTCCCCACCCACCCTCTACCCATCCATCCACCCACCCACCTTCCCCCCACCTACGCAAAATTATATGAGCGCGTGGTGTTTCTTTTAAAGGTGGAGGTCAAAACCGGAGTGCTCGGAGAAAAATCCACGCGGCCACCGCGGGTGGAGAAATCGCGCGTCCTCCGTAAGGGTCCGAGATCGAAGCCACGACCTCGTGCGCATCTCCAGGTGAGGAGCATAACGTCACCGGGGCGCCCCCCGAGCGGAGGGACTTTGTGCAAACGCCGCCACAGTAGCCAACCGCGCTAACCGGAGGTGCCAGGTTCAAGGACACCAGCGGACGTGTGGTGCGCATTACGAGTTGAAATTACCGCTGCGAAAATTATGCACGTAAAGGTCTTCGTCTGATAACGACATCAAACTGGTGGCATCACAATGAACATTAAACAATCGACGTGTACGAGTTATAAATGGTCGAAAAATTGTGCATTCTGTTTACCCTGTGCCATGTTTAGGGCTATCTGAAGATTTTTCTCCTCCTGATTCTCTTCTTCCAGCTTGGCAAGTAAAACAGCACACACAGAGACCCACAAACTAACCACGTAGAGACCCACAGACTCGCCACACAGAGACACGTGACTTTACCGAAAAAACCTAAGAATAACCACCACCAGCACCTGCAGTCACGAAAGCTTTAAATCGAAAAATTCAAACCACCAATACCTAGCTATTCGCCACTAAGTGACAGTGACATCACCACAGCACGCTTGTGCCAGGTCAGGTGCACTTTGAGGCCACGTGAAGTGTCGAAGGCTCGCTGACAGGAGGTCACGGGACAAACGCAGGTGCCCTGGTTTGTCCGACAGATGATCGGTAGATGCACCACCTGTACCCCTGCTGTGCCAACTTGCTGTATTTTAGTCGCCCAGCGCTCCACTCGTTGTGAGCTTCAATGCTCTGCCCTCCATTGTGGCTGGAGGGTGACTGCCTCCAACTTTCTAGTAGCATGCTTCAAGAGCCTCTTCCACAGAGGCCGATCTTGACAACGCTGGTTCCAGTCATCAGCAAGTCCACTCAGCTCCACGTCCTCCTGTACCACATCACTCCATCTCTTCTCCAGCCCATGTCCTGCCCGTTTGTATCCCTCTGTGGCCGAACAAGTTGCTTGGGCATGCGGTAGCTGGGCATGCGGTAGCTGGGCATGCGGTAGCTGGGCATGCGGGCTACATGACCCAGCCAAATAGACACACACATCCACCCACACCCTATTGCAGGGCATCGTCATGGTCTGCATTAACCACACACACACACACACACGTGGTACTTGTGGTTAATGAATAAATAACAATATTATTTCGTGTAGTTTCTGTGAGTGTTGGCAAGGCCTTGATCCACCAGTGGATAAAAGATCGTGGCTCTCGATGATCATGTCGGTGACATCTTTTAAATAAAAAAACATTCCTCATGAAATATCTTTCCAGTTGGCGACACGGCTGGCAAAGCCATCGAACCTTCGTCGTTGCGACATCTTCAAGGACAAGTTGATGGCATCAAGTGGAGCTGTCCCAACGACGAGACGAACTTGATCCTTGTCTACATAGGCGACAAATTGCTGGTAAGTCGCACAAACGGGGTGGGGGGGGGGGTTGCATTGGGCCGTCTGGGAGATGCTGATCCAGCATCCGTACTCCGCTCCTCCTGGCTCTCTCTGTCTATCTGTCTTTCTCTCTGTCTGTCTCTCTCTGTCTCTCTCTGCCTGTCTCTCTCTGTCTGTCTCTCTCTGCCTGTCTCTCTCTCTGTCTGTCTCTCTCTGTCTCTCTGTCTGTCTGTCTCTCTCTGTCTCTCTCTGTCTATCTCTCTCTGTCTCTCTGTCTTTCTCTCTGTCTGTCTCTCTCTGTCTCTCTGTTTGTCTCTCTCTGTCTGTCTCTCTGTCTTTCTCTCTGTCTTTCTCTCTGTCTCTGTCTGTCTGTCTCTCTCTGTCTGTCTCTCTCTCTGTCTCTGTCTCTCTATCTGTCTCTCTATCTATCTCAGTCTCTCTCTGTCTCTCTCTGTCTGTGTCTGTCTGTCTCTGTCTCTTTCTGTGTCTCTGTCTCTCCTTGTTTCTCTCTGTCTGTCTCCTTGTCTCTCTCCGTCTCTCTGTCTCTCTCCTAGTTTAATAATGGGGGTAGCTTGATGAAATTAAATAATCGTGGGAAGTGCAGGACGTATGAACGGCGATACGATGCAGGCAACGACAGAAAACGGGTGTCAGCGTGATACGGCACTGGGAGAAAATGGTAGTGGAGGCTACAACTATTTCCGGCAATGGGATTTTCTAAATTGATTTTATCATTGATTTTATAGTTGATTTGGGGGGGGGGAATTGTTCATTTCCCGACACACGGAAAGCCTGGGGTCACGGATCGTTCTGGGGAACCTAACCCTTAACCCGGGACTGCTCGTATTGCTTTTCCATGGCGACGGAAACATTGATTGAGCACAGGACATCACAGGTGTCTCCGTTGTGCGTGCGGACGCGTTTCCTCCCATTGCCGCCATGCAGGTGAAATATCGGACTTCGGGTAAAACGTCCAACGTGTCGTACGAGATCAACACCTCGTTGGAAATCGTCGACTGGGACTGGGCTGTGCCAAGCGGCAAGTTGTTGTGGCGACGGAGCCCGGAGGACGGAGTTTACTCGGTGGAGGCTCAAGGCCCGAACGGCAACAAAAACACCTGCATCATCGCCAACTTTACAGGTGTGTGTGTGTGTGTGTCATTGTGTGTGTGTCATTGTGTGTGTGTGTCATTGTGTGTGTGTGTCATTGTGTGTGTGTGTCATTGTGTGTGAGTGTCATTTTGTGTGTGTGTCATTGTGTGTGAGTGTCATTGTGTGTGTGTGTCATTGTGTGTGTGTGTCATTGTGTGTGTGAGTGCCATTGTGTGTGTGAGTGTCATTGTGTGTGTGTGTCATTGTGTGTGTGTGTGTCATTGTGTGTGTGTGTCATTGTGTGTGTGTGTCATTGTGTGTGTGTGTGTCATTGTGTGTGTGTCATTGTGTGTGTGAGTGTCATTGTGTGTGTGTGTGTGTGTGTCATTGTGTGTGTGTGTGTCATTGTGTGTGTGTGTGTCATTGTGTGTGTGTGTGTCATTGTGTGTGTGTGTCATTGTGTGTGTGTGTGTCATTGTGTGTGTGTGTGTGTCATTGTGTGTGTGTGTGTCATTGTGTGTGTGTGTGTGTCATTGTGTGTGTGTGTCATTGTGTGTGTGAGTATCATTGTGTGTGTGTGTTAATGTGTGTGTGTGTCAATTTGTGTGTGTGTCAATTTGTGTGTGAGTATCATTGTGTGTGTCAATGTGTGTGTGTGAGTGTCATTATGTGTGTGAGTGTCATTTGTGTGTGTGTGTGTGTCAATGTGTGTGTGTCTTCTTGGTTCTTTCGGTAAAGTCACGTAGAATGGAAATAATAAAATAATAAAAATTTAACATAATAAAATAATTCTCACGACATTTCGGCCACAACGCAAGCAGTCGTCCTCAGGTGAAGAACAGGTCTGTCGAGTAGACAGCGTCTGAATGACACGTCCTGGTCATTCAGACTCTGTTTTTCCGACAGACCTGTTCTTCACCTGAGGATGGCTGCTTGCGTTGTGGCCGAAATGTCGTGAGAATTATTTTATTATGTTAAAATTTTATTATTTTATTATTTCCATTCTACGTGACTTTACCGAAAGAACCAAGAAGATGAATCCCTGCAGTCACGAAAGCTTTAAATCAAAATTTAATGTGTGTGTGAGTGAGTGTCATTGTGTGTGTGTGTGTCATTGTGTGTGTGTGTCAATCTGTGTGGGGAGCGGTAGTGATAGCGGTGAGCGCTACGCTACGAGCCGGGCAGAGACCCCAGTTGGATTCCCGCTTGCGGCCAACACCACCACCGGTGACGATTATCTGAGCCTCCCCGAGGTCGACTCAGCCTCAAATGAGTACCTGGTGCGGTGTGTAAACATCGCCACTGGGGAGACAAAGGTGGTCGGGCGTGGTGCTGGCCACCCACCCTATCGCGTGCCATTCCGGCCTTCATAGGTGCTCGCTAACAGCATTTACCCAAAGTCTGTTAAGGCTACACGGGGTATCTTTGTCTTTTAGACGTGCGCGTACACTGACACAAGCCTGGTGTTCATCTTCCTGTGTTCACAGCTGCAGCAGAGACGCCTACAATGCCAGGACGCGTGCAGATTTCATATCCATCAAATGAGACCACCTCTAAACATGAACCACGATCGCACGTCGCTCTCTGGTTTGTGCCATTTGTGCCATTGGTATTGGTGCTATTGGCATCTGCACCGTTCGTGGCGCACGCCATAAGGAAGCGTTCATGCTGCAAGCCGGAAACCCAGCGTGAGATCGATGACGATTCGTGCACAACCAATGGCTGCCTGTGGGAAAACATCGGCACGTGCGTTCGCCCGCGTCGCGAATACGTGCCGCCACAGGCCTGAAGTGACGAGCGGAGCGGAATGTGCCCCTCCCGCGCCCGCCACCAACCCCCCCCCCCCTTTTTACGTCAAAAAATTGCCCCCCTCGTTTAACATCAGACGCAAATATCAATGGCCGTTAAACCACCTTTCGCCAAATACTGCGTGCGGCTGTCTGAAGGCCGCCACAGTTACCACAGTTTATTGCTCCCTGGACTAAAGCTCCCCCTTCTTCCTCTTCACTCTGCTGTCCGGATGTGGAGCTGCCTCCCCGATGGACACATTGTCGGCAAGATCACCCATTCCGGTCTTGAGGCCCTTAAATGCCGAGCTCGGCGACCGAGTCTTTGAGCTGCACTGAACCAATGCCTGGTGGGCTGACTGCGAGGGGGTGGACAGTCTTCCATGCTGGACATCTGTGGAAAGGAGTTTCAAGGCTCATCGGATTCCTCCTGCAGTCTAAGACACATTCCTTGCGTTAAACCCACCACCACACCAACACAGCAAAATGTAAACAGAACGTGGCCAATTCGTTACTAGTACAACACACCGGCGTGTTGGAGAGCCAAGCCACAACATTTACAATCTGAGTACGACGCTTCGCCAGTAATTACAACTAGCTTCATCAGGCGACAGCCAGATTTGTGGAGAAGTCCACCTGTTTCGTTCCTTAGACATATTGTCCTGCTGCGGAGGGAGCTGGTAGGAACGTCGGGTTGCTCGGTCAATGGCCTGCAGGGTCAACGGCGGCGTGGTGTATTCCGCAAATATGCCCGACTGTGAGGGCGGGCACAAGCCGGCGTGAGTAGGTTAAACGTTGAGTTTTATAAGGGCACCACGGGGTGACCAGCCCCTCCCCACCCAGCCCCACCCCTCCCACCCCCCACCCAGCCCCACCCTCCCCACCTAGCCCCTCCCCACTCTCCCCACCCAGCCCCTCCCTGCACGACGGACACAATAATCCCCTGTGGGCTGGTGTAACCAGAGGTTCCTACCAGTATAAAGATTCTGACTCTGAACTGTGAATCTTTCTGTAACTATGGATCTCTATGCAACGCTGTATATCTTTGTGTAACTTTGTGCATCTCTAAATAACTACATGCCTCCTGATGTAACTCTATGGCTATGAAAATAAACTTTTTGAATCTCTATGTAACTCTGTGGATTTCTCTAACCCCATTTACCACTGTATTGATCTCCGTTGCACCCTATGGATTCTTATTTTTAAATCCTTTATATTAAGTTCGCTTGCTTGCTTAGGACCGTGCAAATCTTTCGGTCGTTTTTTAACCCACTTCCCGTGATCCAATCGAGCTGACATTTTCCACACAGACTCGTTGTGCGTGACAATTAATGTTCGTGAAAATTTTTTTCCAAAATTTTACACTTTTTAGGACAAAAATATTATATTTAATTACCAATTGCTTAATGGCGCAATGCATTCATCTGACCCATAGGTGGCAGCCATCTCAAGCCAGAGGACGAGAGGACTCTAGCCGCCACGCATATAAAGGATTTATAGTGAAAAACTTTGTTTTTACGGGTTATACTTATTACGTACCTCGATAGATCTCTTTGTAACTCTGTAGATAATCCATGAAACTCTATCGATCTCTGCGTGATCCTACGGCTGTCGATGTAACGCTATGGATCTCCATGGAACTAACTCTATGCGTATCTATGTAACTCTATGAGTGTATGTACCTATAACGCCCGAGATGTAACTCACTATGCAACTATGGATCTCTACGGATCTCTGTGTAACTCTATGGGTCTCTGTGTAACTCTATGGGTCTCTGTGTAACTCTATGGGTCTCTGTGTAACTCTATGTGTCTCTATGTAACTCTATGGGTCTCTGTGTAACTCTATGGGTCTCTGTGTAACTCTGTGGGTCTCTGTGTAACTCTATGGGTCTCTATGTAACTCTATGGGTCTCTATGTATCTCTATGGGTCTTTGTGTGTCTCTATGGGTCTCTGTGTAACTCTATGGGTCTCTGTGTAACCCAATGGGTCTGTGTGACTCTGTGTGTCTCTGTGTAACTCTAGGGGTCTCTGTGTATATCTATGGGTCTCTATGTGACTCTATGGGTCTCTGTGTAACTCTATGGGTCTCTGTGTAACTCTGGGTCTCTGTGTAACTCTATGGGTCTCTGTGTAACTCTATGGGTCTCTGTGTAACTCTATGGGTCTCTGTGTAACTCTATGGGTCTCTGTGTAACTCTATGGGTCTCTGTGTAACTCTATGGGTCTCTATGTAACTCTATGGGTCTCTGTGTAACTCTATGGGTCTCTGTGTAACTCTGTGTAACTCTATGGATCTCTGTGTAACTCTATGGATCTCTGTGTAACTCTATGGGTCTCTGTGTAACTCTATGGATCTCTGTGTAACTCTATGGGTCTCTGTGTAACTCTATGGGTCTCTGTGTAACTCTATGGGACTCTGTGTAACTCTATGGGACTCTGTGTAACTCTGTGTAACTCTATGAGTCTCTATGTAACTCTATGGGTCTCTGTGTAACTCTATGGGACTCTGTGTAACTCTATGGGACTCTGTGTAACTCTGTGTAACTCTATGGGTCTCTGTGTAACTCTATGAGTCTCTGTAACTCTATGGGTCTCTGTGTAACTCTATGAGTCTCTGTAACTCTATGGGTCTCTGTGTAACTCTATGGGTCTCTGTGTAACTCTATGGGTCTCTGTGTAACTCTATGAGTCTCTGTAACTCTATGGGTCTCTGTGTAACTCTATGGGTCTCTGTGTAACTCTATGGGTCTCTGTGTAACTCTATGGGTCTCTGTGTAACTCTATGGGTCTCTGTGTAACTCTGTGTAACTCTATGGGACTGTGTAACTCTGTGTAACTCTATGGGTATCTGTGTAACTCTGTGTAACTCTATGGGTCTCTGTGTAACTCTGTTTAACTCTATGGGTCTCTATGGGTCTCTGTGTAACTCTATGGGTCTCTGTAACTCTATGGGACTCTGTGTAACTCTATGGGTCTCTGTGTAACTCTGTGTAACTCTATGGGTCTCTGTGTAACTCTGTGTAACTCTATGGGTCTCTGTGTAACTCTGTGTAACTCTATGGGTCTCTGTGTAACTCTGTTTAACTCTATGGGTCTCTATGGGTCTCTGTGTAACTCTATGGGTCTCTGTAACTCTATGGGACTCTGTGTAACTCTATGGGTCTCTGTGTAACTCTGTGTAACTCTATGGGTCTCTGTAACTCTATGGGACTCTATGTAACTCTATGGGTCTCTGTGTAACTCTGTGTAACTCTATGGGTCTCTGTGTAACTCTGTGTAACTCTATGGGTCTCTGTGTAACTCTGTGTAACTCTATGGGACTCTGTGTAACTCTGTTTAACTCTATGGGTCTCTATGGGTCTCTGTGTAACTCTATGGGTCTCTGTAACTCTATGGGACTCTGTGTAACTGTTCAAGTGCGCAAGCTTCCGCAGCATCCAGACCCCCACCCCTCGCCTGGGTAGCCCCGCCCCCACCCAGCCCCCACCCTCGCCTGGGTAGCCCCGCCCCCACCCAGCCCCCACCCTCGCCTGGGTAGCCCCGCCCCCACCCAGCCCCTACCCTTGGCCTGGGTAGCCACGTTCCGGGGCCCCACCCATCCTCGCGGTTTTTGGAGACCCCCACCGCCCCCCCGCCCCGCCCCTCCAACCGCCCCCCCCCGCCCCAGACAAAAAAACATTTTTGCTCCAAATCGTTTGCTGCCCGTTCGGCGCGGGTTGTTGTTGTCCCATTTAGCAGCCGATCGGCCGCCTTCCCACGGATGCAAATCGTCAGCGAGCGCCTCCGTCGCCTTCCGCACGGGAAGACCGCGACGACTTCAATATCCGCCGGTGGATTCGTTCGCTATTCGCCGCAAACGAATCGGTGCGCGGCGCGACGGGACGGGAGGAGGAGGCCCAGGAGACCCAGGCCCTCCCCTCATCCCACCCCCACTCCTCCTGCTGCTGCTGGCTCGGGCTCACTGCTCGGGGGTTTCGGTGTCCGCTGTCGCGGGCTGCCAGGCTGGGTTTGGGCTGCCGGGCTGGGTTTGGGCTGTCGGCTGGGGGCCCTCTGACCTGGCGGAGAGGCAGTACAGAAAGGTGGTTGTTGGGGGCGCTGTTCGCCTACGTGGATTTGGTGAGAATGATTTTTTTTATCTTGGTTCTTTCTGTAAAGTCGTCACGTAGAATGGAAATAATAAAATAATAAAAATGAAACATAATAAAAGAATTCTCACGACGTTTCGGCCCCAACGCAAGCAGCCGTCCTCAGGTGGAGAACAGGTCTGTCGAGAAGACAGCGTCTGAATGTGAGAATTATTTTATTATTTCCATTCTACGTGACGACTTTATCGAAAGAACCAAGGAGATGAATCCCTGCAGTCACGAAAGCTTTAAATCGAGATTTTATTTTAGTCGATGAGAAAAGGATGAAAACTCCCTCCCTCTACCCCCTCTACCTCCCCCCGCCTCCTCTAGAATCACCCTCTGGGTTGAAATTCCTACCGCACGAAGCGGCCACATTTCTAGCGTTCTAAGCCCCCACGGCGTTTTTGTCTTCAGTGTAGCAGCAGCAATCAGCCTGCCGAGAGAGAGAGCGGGGCCTGAGTGAGTGGGATTCAGCCAGCTCTCGTTATCAAGTGTCTCGCAGTGAAAGGCTGGCGTGTGTGTGTGGTGGGTGTTTTTTTTTAAACTCGCCACGTTTTCAGGGGAGCTGTGTGTGTGGCGGTGGTTGTGGTTTGTTGTAAAGGAATCTGAATGTCTTCGCAGTGGCCAGAGCAGAATCAACTGTGCAGCCTTTCTAAAAGCAGTGGCAGCCAGTTCAATGCAAAGAGAGGCGCGTGTGTGTGTTGGCGTTCAGTGGTGGTGATGATGGTGGTGATGATAATTACAATAATTAGGGGGGTAGGGGGGGGAGTTGTCTGACCCCCGTAGCGGTTGACTTGCAGCACCTGCCGCTCAAGGCTTGACCCATTCTCCCCCCCACGAGACCCGTTCTGGTGGACACGGCAACACGCACAAAGATGCCCTCCCCGTAGAGTCGGGCCAGACTGGGGGCGGGAAGTGCTGTTGGCGAGCACCTATAAAGGCCGGCACGGCACACGCGTGGCCAGCACCACGCCCCCGGCCGCCTTTGTCTCCCCAGTGGCGATGTTTACTAGACACCACGCCGGGTACTCATTTCAGGCTGAGTCGACCTAGGGGAGGCCCATGACCGGTTAAGATAATCGTCACTGGTGTTGGCCACACACACACACACTGAGAATTTGCATTTTAATCCATAGTTTAGCTAGGGTTATATAGCAATGTCTTATAATTACGATTGACAATTAACAATTCAAGGATTAATGATTGCAATCATAACATTCCAATAGACGGATACTGGGTCTGTGTGTCACTGCCTAGAGACCCCCATCAGAGACCACTCAGTCTGTGTGTCACTGTGTAGAGACTCCATCAGAGACCACTCTATCACTGTGTAGAGACTCCATCAGAGACCACTCTGTCTGTCACTGTGTAGAGACTCCATCAGAGACCACTCAGTCTGTGTGTCACTGTGTAGAGACTCCATCAGAGACCACTCAGTCTGTGTGTCACTGTGTAGAGACTCCATCAGAGACCACTCTGTCTGTCACTGTGTAGGGACTCCATCAGAGACCACTCTGTCTGTCACTGTGTAGAGACTCCATCAGAGACCACTCTGTCACTGTGTAGAGCCTCCATCAGAGACCACTCAGTCTGTCACTGTGTAGAGACTCCATCAGAGACCACTCAGTCTGTCACTGTAGAGACTCCATCAGAGACAACTCTGTCACTGTGTAGAGACTCCATCAGAGACCACTCTGTCTGTCATTGTATAGACACCCATCAGAGACCCATCAAAGACCACTCAGTCTGTGTGTCACTGTGTAGAGACTCCATCAGAGACCACTCTGTGTGTCACTGTGTAGAGCCTTCACCAGAGACCACTCAGTCTGTGTGTCACTGTGTAGAGACTCCATCAGAGACAACTCTGTGTGTCACTGTCTACAAACGCCCCACCACGTAGGGACACTGAACAATGACCCCTGACCCCCCCCCCCCCCCCCCCACGTAGAGATGGAGGCCGCAGGGTCGCAGGCGGTCTCTGGAGGGCCCCCGTCTCTCTCGGCCCCGCGGGCCACGCTGCTCAAGCGGGAGGCCTTCGAGCGGCCGTGGCCGGGCGTCATCGTGAAGCGCGAGGTGGTGGACGGTGAGCGATGGGCCCCTCACCCCCCACCCCCAGATGTCGTCTCCCTCGCCCGGTGTGCAGGAGGTCGTGGGTTTTCGATCCAGACCCTGCCGGTGTATACGGAGTTTGCACTTTAGACTGCAGTAGGACTCTACATTATCGTAGGACTCTACATTATCGGCGCCGATGATGGGGAGGACGGCCGCTGGTAATTCGAAATCGTGGGTAGCCCAAAAATATCAAAATTGTCTACGGATCTCTCATTTGTGACAGCCGGCTCGCTTCTAAAAAATAGCTACGTAGCAGCTTAGTGGGGGCTCACACTTGGTAACGATAACAAAATAGTTATTATTGGTTCTTTCGGTAAAGTCACGTAGAAGGGAAATAATAAAGCAATAAAAATATAAAACAATACAATTCTCACGACGTTTCGACTGCAACACAAGCAATCATCATCAGGTGTGAAATCCACAGAAAGAAAATTTCACATCTTCTAATTTTTTAATTTTCTTGCTGTGGATTTCACACCTGATGATGAATGCTTGTGTTGCAGTTGAAACGTCGTGAGAATTGTATTGTTTTATTTGTATTATTTCTCTTCTACGTGACTTTACCGAAAGAACCGAGAATATGAATCCCTGCAGTCACGAAAGCTTTACATCAAAATAACAAAATAGTTAATAGTGTTGGTTTCCACCCTCGCTCGTGTTCCCGTGAGCAGGCTTCAGGCCTGACGCGGTGGCACTGTCGCTGAAGCGTGAGCACGAGGAGGACGAGGAGGAGGGGGAGGATGAAGAGGAGGGGGGGGAGGAGGGGGAGGAGGAGCCTGGCCATGAGGTCTGGCCTCAGGTGAAGGTGAAGCAGGAAGACTCTGCAAACGGTACGGCCTCGCGTCACCCACACACATCCACACACGCCCACACAGCCAAAACAACAACCGCCATTCCCCACTAAGTGGCGGTGACGTCACCACGACGCTTGTGCCAGGCCATGTGCACGTTGAGGCCACGTGAAGTGTCGAACGCCCGCTGGCAGGAGGTCACGGGGCAGACCCAGCAGGTGCCATGGGCCGACTGACTGAGATGAGTGGCCGATGCGCCACCTGTGCCCCCTACTGTGCCAACTCTCTGTGTTTTAGCCACCCGGCGTTCCGCTCGTTGTTGTGAGCGTCGCTCCTCTGCCTCCCTTTGTTGCTGGAGGGCGACTGCCTCCAACTGCCCAGTAGCGTCCTTCACGAGCCTCCTCCACAAAGGCCGATCTTGACACCGCTGGTACCAGTCATCGGCAAGTCCACTCAGCTCCACATACTCTCCTTCCACATCACTCCATCTCTTCTCTAGCCCGTGCCACTCCCGTTTAGCCCCCTCTATCCGGCCGCACAAAAGCTGTTTAGGCTTGCGGTGGCTGGGCATGCGGGCTACATGACCAGGCCACTTTAGGTTGGAATGGGGTCCTGGATGTACACCCACCACCGGAGTGGAAGAATGGCAGGCGCATCTTACAGATGACAAGTCGATGGTCAGAGGGCAGATCAGCTCCATGGTAGGTGGTGGAGGGTTACGACACAACATTTACACTTATGTAATATGAGGCTATATCCGGCTCACTGACGTGTTACAACTCGTCATGGTGATTGGCTCTGCCGGTCCTGGTCTACAGCCAATGGGGGGAAGCCTGGGGGCATGGCCCTGACGTCATGGAAAGGTGACAGCTACAAGGATTGGTTCTGCTGGCTTTGGCCTCAGCCAATGGGGAGACGAGTCAGGGGCGTGGTCCCGGGAGTTGACGAGGGAGCCTGGAAGATTCGACGCAGGCTACCGAGGATTGGCTCAAGCGTACCACGTGACCCGGGTATTAAATAGGGGTAGAGATGAACGACACGGGGTCAGACGAGGAACGGAGGAAGGAAGGGGCCACGCGGGAGCGGGGCTCCGAGTTGCCACGTGTCCGTGCGTCTCTCTCGGTCCATCTGTCCACTTCACGTTGCCTATCAGCAGCGGGGAGTAATTGTAACCCTAAGTCAATAAAAAGACCGATTCCAGAAGTCGTCTCCAAGACTGATATTACACTTACAGCGATCTAACCCAAAAGCCGTTGTTATGAATAACATTGCTCGTGTAGTTAGTTGCAGGAGGCTCGGACGACGTCGTTGGAGGCACACGTGTTTATTAACACCAACGTATTTACAGAGACGGGGATACACAACACTCGAAGGGGTATCGGCCCCTTCACCCGTCTAACAGGGAGACCCAACGTCTACCCCGGCTAGCCTACTCCCAGGTCCTCCACTACAGAGCTAAGGGAGGCTATCTATCCCAGCCCTGGTCAAGCTGGGATCCTGGCACCCCGAGTCTCCAGACCGGCTCTTATAAGAACATCAGTCTGGGCTCTCGGGGCCACGCCACCGGCTTTCCCCGGTCGGTCCTGACAAGGACAGCGAGCCAGGGGAGTTCCGGGGCCTGCTCTAGCTGGTCTTCACTCTTCGCTGGTTAAAGCTGATACCCGACCTCGAGCCCTCCGGCTCACCACCTTTTATAGCAATCGGCCCCCGGGAGGGGCCCGTGGGGGATGCAGGTGCGGACGTCGGTGTGAGCACCTTCGTAGTGTACGGCCATAACCACGCCCCTTGTGTTTGTTACCCATCCGTGCCCATACACATTTACAAATACACCTCTACACTCGCGAAAGCCTGCTACGTGTAAAACTAAATCAAAGCTGCCGCTGCTGCCGCCACGTCTCGTTGTTGCGGTCGTGGCGACAGCGAGCCCGCGGAGCGAGGACCACGTGACGGGGGGTGCCGGGGGGGCGGGGGGGGGGGCCTCGTCGTCGTCGCCGTCGTCTCCGGAGGGGGCGGCCGACGGGGCGACTGCCGAGGTGGAGGTGGAGCTGAGCGACGAGGACGGCGGCGGCGGCGGAGAGACGGGAGGCGCTCACTCACGTGAGTGTCACCCCCCACCCCCCACACCTCCTCGGTGGTTGTGGTGGATACGGGACAGTGACGCTGTCATGGCTGTGGTGGTGGTGGTGGATACTGGACAGTAACGCTGTCATGATTGTGGTGGTGGTGGTGGTGGATACTGGACAGTAACGCTGTCATGGCTGTGGTGGTGGTGGTGGATACTGGACAGTGACGCTGTCATGACTGTGGTGGTGGTGGTGGTGGTGGTGGTTGCTAGAAGGTGAAGCTGTGGTGGCGTCTGTGGTGTCTGCGGTGATTTCCCGACGGTAACCTGCTGATTCCAGTCCGGTGACACCTCCGCTTTCGTTTAATTTCCCACTAAACCGCTTTATTGAATATCTCACTAAGCCTGTTCCGGAGGCCTCAGGATGACGGGCATCCGTGACGTCTCCTGGCCAAACTCTAGTTTGGCGGAGCCAGGACACTGAACTCATGTCCTTGGCGTTCTTGTAGAAACTGCAAAAAGATATTGAGAGTGGCCACTTGTGTAAAGTTCGAACGCTCACTGCGGAGGAGAGGCTGCCACCCCTCTGTCGGGAGCTGGACCAGTACCGCCTGGATCTCTGCGGCATTCAGGAGGTCCGGTGGACCGGCTCTGGCTCCAGTCACCATGAGGGGTGGACAGTCCTCTACTCGGGGCAGGGACAAAAGAATGAAGGGGGCGTGGGAGCGTAATGGTGAGGTGTGGAAAGCTGTAACCCCCAGGCTACTGTGGGCTCGCCTTGCCATTGACCAGAGGCGATGAGTGGTGATCGTGGTTACTTATGCCCGTACCGAAGATGAACTTAAGCGGAGGGATGCGGGCAAGGCCGATGAGTCAGATTCCTTCTATGACCTCCTGTCACAAGTGCTAGCTAAAGTGACCGCTTGGGATAGAGTCATCCTGTTGGGTAAGATTAATGCCCGAGTGGGTCATGATGCTGGTACCTGGGCGAGAGTGATTGGAAGGCATAAGCGGCTAAAATACAGCAAGTTGGCACAATAAGAGGCACATCTAGTGCATCTGTCAGTCGTCTCGGTCAGTAAACCCATGGCACCAGCTCATGACAGCGAGTGTTCGATATTTCACACGGCCTTAAAGTGCACCTGGCCTGGCACAGTCACCCCGTGGCGACTTCACTGTCACTTAGTGGCGAATGGCGAGTATTGGTGGTGGTTGTGGTGGTGGTTGTGGTGGAGTCTGAGTCTACCTAGTGGAGCCCAGGACAGGTTCAGATAATTGTCACTGGTGGTGTTGGCCGTGAGCGGGAATCGAACTCGGGTCGCCGGGTTCGTAGCGCAGCGCGCTAACCACTACACTATCGCTCCCCACATACACACGTACACACATATGCATATACACGAACACACACGTAAACACACGTACATACACACACGTACATACGTAAACACACGTGCACACACATACGTACACACACGTACATACGTAAACACACGTACGTACACACACACACGTACACACGCACACGTACACACACACGTACACACACGTACATACGTAAACACACGTGCACACACATACGTACACACACGTACATACGTAAACACACGTACACACACGCACGTACATACACACACGTACACACGCACACATACACACGTACACACACACACGTACACACACATACACACACGAACACACACGTAAACACACGTACGTACACACACGAGCACACACACACACGTACATGCACACATGTACACACACGTACGTAAACACACGTACACACAATACATACACACACGTACATACACACGACCACACACGTAAACACACGTACATGCACACACGTACATACGTAAAACACACGTACACACGTAAACACACGTACGTGCACACACGTATACACACAAACACACGCACACACACGACATACGAAAACTCTGCGACAGGAGGAGGCGACGGCGACGCCGCTGCCGCCGCTGCTGCCGGCGCCGAGCATCTGCTGCGGTGCCGTCACTGCGGCAAGGCGGTGCCGGACGCGGCGAGCCTGCGCCGGCATGAGCGCTCGCACACGGTGGAGCGGCCGCACGTGTGCGGCGAGTGCGGCCGCGGCTTTCCGAGCCGGCGCAACCTGCGGCGCCACCAGAGCACGCACGCGGGCCAGCGCGCGTTCCCCTGCGCCGACTGCGGACGCGTCTTCACGCAGCCCTCCAGCCTCAAGATGCACTCGCGCACGCACGCCGGTGAGTGGGCGGGCGGGAGGGCGGGAGGGCGGGGGCCGCTTGGTCCCACACGCTAGCCACCAACTAGCCACCAATTAGCCACCAACTAGCCACATGCCCTTCTTTCGTATGGATTAATAGCAGCAGATTCGATTTATTAATTTTAATTTTTTTACCTACGTGACTTTACCGAAAAAACCCAAGAATATGAATCCTTGCAGTCACGAAAGCCTCAAATGTGGACTCTCATGAAATTGTCCTTTCCGAGACCAAGGTGCTCTGCAAGCCTCCTGGCTACCATCAAAGGTTTATTCTTTGATTCTTTCGGTAAAGTCACGTATAAAGATAAAATAATAAATTAAATAATAGCATGCTATTATTTAGTCACGTATAAAGATAAATTAATAAATTAAATAATAGCATGCTATTATTTAATTTATTATTTTATCTTTATACGTGACTTTACCGAAAGAATCAAAGAATAATTCCTGCAGTCACGAAAGCTCCAAAATTAACATCAAAGGTTTGTTCATGAAGCCATACAAATATACAAACACAGACATAATTTCAACCGTGATGATGGGTACAGACTGAGTAATCATTGGAAAGATGTGATTAACCATGCAAAAAAGATTTAACTACACATATTTGGACCATCTTTTTTGACAAACCAACTATTCTTGAGTTACTGTCACCTTACCATAACAAAGGCTCAGTCCTTTGTTATGTAGACTAGCCGTAGTCTCAAGCCGCACCTTACCATAACAAAGGCTCAGTCCTCTGTTATGTAGACTAGCCGTAGTCTCAAGCCGCACCTTACCATAACAAAGGCTCAGTCCTCTGTTATGTAGACTAGCCGTAGTCTCAAGCCGCACCTTACCATAATAAAGGCTCAGTCTTCTGTTATGTAGACTAGCTGTAGTCTCTAGCCACACCTTGCCATAACAAAGGCACAGTCCTTTGTTATGTAGACTAGCCGTAGTCTCAAGCCGCACTTTACCATAATAATTAAAGTGGGCCGATCCTGGCCCATCCCCCTCCCCTCAACCAGTATATATACGGGGAAGTATCCCTTGGAATCTCTCATTTACTTGATACAGCTATCGTGCTGTGACGGTTCCACCTGAAGACGGAAGCTTGTGTTGCCTCCAAAACGTCGTGATTTTTATTTTATTTTTATTTTACTTTGATTAATTTAGATTTTTTTTACCTACGTGACTTTACTGAAAAAACCCAAGAATATGAATCCTTGCAGTCACCAAAGCTTCAAATCTAGAATGTAAATGTAAGCACAAGCAGTACTAGTCGCATATCTGCATTTCCCATAAATATGCAAAAATTCGTAGTTGTATGGTGAATATGCAGCAGTGTGGTGTGCAGTAGGGTGGGTAGAATAATACATAGTGTAATATTACATAAATATGCTAAAATTATTTTGTCAAGGCGCTCTTCCTCTTCCCTGCCAGCTTAAATAGACGCTCCAAGCCCAGGACGTGTCATTCAGACGCTGTCTTCTCGACAGACCTGTTCTTCACCTGAGGACGGCTGCTTGCGTTGTGGCCGAAACGTCGTGAGAATTATTTTATTATGTTTTATTTTTATTATTTTATTACTTCCCTTCTACGTTACTTTTCCGACAGAACCAAGAAAATGTAAATGTAGCTTTGTTATCCACTCAATTGTCTGTTCAGAAGCGGCGTTGGATCTCGTCCTTTAGAGGAGTGAAGACTACGGCGGCAGCGGCAGTGTTCACGATGGCGGTCGATGGTTTTGGGATCCGTGGCCACACTCTCCCAGACCGCAAAATCTTTTACGGCGCCGTTTGTGCGTTCGGGAGGACGCATCGGCCGCATCGGCCGCATCGGCCGCATCGGCCGCATCGGCCTCATCGGCCGCTTGGCTCCGGTTCGGGTTTGGTTGATGGTCGATCGTTGGCGGGCATTGGAAGGTTGAAACCGGAAGGTTCGACGGTTCAGGGTCGCCGGACGAGATGTTGATCCTTGACGTCGGCCGCAGTCCGGGATGGCGTGGAGCGAGGCAGCTGATGTCGTACGGAAGGGGAGCGGCTCTGGGTTTATGTCCCGATGTATCGGAAGGTTTCCGGGTTGACGGGAATGTTTTGGTTCTCCCGGACGGCCGCCACTTTCACGACGGATTTGAGGTGGAGCGATGTTGGGGTGACCACCGGGAGCCAATGGGGGGGGTCGGCGTCGACCTCGGCGTACCTCAGACGGCCACGCGTCGCGATGTTGGGTTTCGTATCGGTAACTCGAGGCGTGTGAGCGCCGTGTCTCCACACGGGTGAGCGATACTCTCCCGTCGGACACACGAGGGGGGTGAACGTGGCAATCCGCTCGCCGCATCACAGCCACCAGACTGGTTCCTGCCAGTTGGTGGATGATTTTATCCCGCTGCTCAACTGCTTCATTTGTTGCATTAAAGTGAGCACCACTCCAACGTATTTTGGGAGTGGGTCCGCTGGTGACGGTTTGACCACAAAACTTCGCGATCTTCGGCGTTCTTTTTGGAATGCCCAGGACGCTGCCTCGGTTTGGGTTTGGCGTAAATCGCCTGCGGTAGAAATAATCTTCCAATTTCTTTCGGGTCGGTGTTCGGGACGTCTTGAGCTGCGCCGAGTGTCGTCGACCTTGGCTGGCTCGGCGCTCGATCGTCAGCGTAAACGAACTTGCGGCTCAATGCAGCCGCAATGTCGCCGTGCGTAGATCAGACGACCCCTGCGGGCGGCCATTTTGTCGAGTTTCGCGTGGCTGCTGCGCTGGTTTCTGAGATGGACGCGAAATTGTCGGTCGCTGAGCGTGCCGACGGACGGGGCGAACCGTCTTTCTCGCACGCGACGGTGTTGGCGAGTTTAAGGGAGGAGAGTCCTGTGAAAGCAGCCGCTGGTTTGTGTTTATGCTAAAAGGCAGCTTCGACGTGCGACGTCATACAACAGCTTCGTTGTGGCCGAAAAGCTGTCTGCTCAGGTGGGGGGTACGGTGGCTTTCAAGAGAGGGGAGAGTCGGGCTATAGCCAGACTCGCTCAAGTAGCTTGTCGTAGGCTGTACAAAGAAGACAGATTGGCCTGTAGCTGTGCGGGTCATCAGCAGGGTGTTCCTGGATTGAAGAGAGCAATGACTTTTGCTTTTCTCCAAGGTCTTGGTCACCTGTTGGTGGCGATGATTTTTATTTTTAAGTTTCCCCGGCCAGCTTCTTCCTTTGCTGCCCCAAGGTGTTTTAGGAATTCCCATCTATCCCTGGGGCTTTACCTGCCTTTGTTACCGCCATCTATTCCTTCTGGAAGTACAGCTGCAGACAGAGGAGAGAGGTTTTTGTTTTTGTGTCGCAGGCTGCGACTGCAATCTTTTGAGGCTTTTTTTCTTTTACCGAGCGTTTTTGTTTTCGACTTCTGATTATTTTTGCATCGCTGAGAATCTGCGCCGCCGTTGGCAGTCGCCCCGGGGTGTCCGGTGTTCCGACGGAGCCGCTCCACACAACTTCCACAGTAGCCCGCACCCCACGGTCTGCGGCTGGAGTGCATGAAGCCAACAGACGCTGCCTCGTCTGGCAGAATCTAGCGACTGCAGGAGGGCTGTTGCGATCTCTGTGTCACCACCTCGTAGCCACCCCCTACTCACCCCCTACTCACCCCTTACCCACCCTCTACCCACCCCCTACTCACCCCCTACTCACCCTCTACCCACCCCCCTCGCACTCACTTAAACCCCCGCGGAACTGGCGAGGAAGACTCTCTCGCAGCCCCCTACCGCCACCACGCTCTGAGCACCGCTCTCTCCCTCCCTCTCCCTCCCCCCCCCCCCCACGTGACCCCCCCCCCTCAGCGGGCGGCAGCGCTGGCCGCTCGGGCGTCCACGAGTGCCCCGAGTGCGGCAAGCGTCTGTCGGACGCGCGCAGCCTCAAGCGTCACGCGCGCACACACACGGGGGAACGGCCGTACGTGTGCGCGGAATGCGGCAGCGACTTCCCGCACGCGTCCAGCCTCAAGGCGCACGCGCGCACACACACGGGGGAACGCCCGCACTGCTGCCCGCTGTGCGGCAAGCGCTTCGCACACCTGCACAGCCTGAAGTCGCACGCGCGAGCCCACCTGGGGGAGCGCCCGCACGCCTGCAAGATCTGCCGCAAGGCCTTCCGCAACAAGTGGAACCTCAAGCGCCACCTGAGCACGCACTCGGGCGAGAAGCCGTACGCCTGCGCCGAGTGCGGCCGCGGCTTTCTGCAGTTCTCCAACCTGCGCACGCACGCGCGCACCCACTCGGGGGAGCGCCCGCACGCTTGCGCAGAGTGCGGCAAGGGCTTCGCGCAGCTCTCGGGCCTCAAGATCCACGCCAAGACGCACACCGGGGAGCGGCCGCACGCGTGCTCCGAGTGCGGCAAGGGCTTCCTGCACCGCTCCAGCCTCAAGGTGCACGAGCGCGTCCACTCGGGCGAGCGACCGCACGCGTGCGCCGAGTGCGGCAAGGGCTTCTCGCAGCCGTCGAGCCTCAAGATCCACGCCAAGACGCACACGGGGGAGCGGCCGCACGTGTGCGAGCAGTGCGGCCGCGGATTCCCCAACGGGCGCAACCTCAAGCGCCACCTGGCGACGCACACGGGCGAGAAGCCCCACGCGTGCGCAGAGTGCGGCAAGGGCTTCCTGCACCTCTCCAACCTCAAGATCCACGGGCGCGTGCACACGGGGGAGCGCCCGCACGCCTGCGACGAGTGCGGGCGCCGCTTCTCCAACCTGTCCGACGTCAAGAAGCACTACCGCACGCACACGGGCGAGCGGCCGCACGTCTGCGGCGAGTGCGGCCGCGGCTTCACCAGCGTGTGCAACCTGCGGCGCCACCACGTGCTGCACACGCGCGACCACCCGCACGAGTGCGCCGAGTGCGGCAAGCGCTTCTCACTGCTCTCCACGCTCAAGAACCACCTGCGGCGACACCGCCAGAGGGGAACGCCGGGCCCGGAGCTGGGGGGGCCGATGGCCGAGTGGCCGGAGCCCGTGGGGTTGGAGGAGGAGGGGGAGGGGGGGGAGGGGCCGCGCGGTGGAGAAGGCCGGCCCTGATGAGGGCTGCCGGAGGGAGCGCCCGGAAGTGCTGATTAACTCCTCGTAACTTTGGTTGAAACTTCAGTGTTCTAGTTTAGTTTCTGTTCACGGTGGTTCACTAAGGGGTGGGCCGTGGTGGCTCAGAGGTTCCCCGGACACCGAACCGGCTGGGAATCGTGGGTTGGAATTCTGGGATTTGGCCGCCCAAGCGCCGAGATTAGACTGATGGGCTGTAGAGTGTTGCTCGCTGGTGGTCTCGTGCCCGGTCACCAACGAGATCCGTAGACTCGCAGAGATCTATAGACTCACACAGAGACTCGGAGACTCACACGGAGACCTATAGACTCACACAGAGACTCGTAGACTCGCACAGAGACCTATAGACTCACACAGAGACTCGTAGACTCACACAGAGACTCGTAGACTCACACATAGACACACAGACTCACAAAGAGACTCATAGACTCACACACAGACTCGTAGACTCACACGGAGATCGATAGACTCACACAGAGACTCGTAGACTCGTATAGAGATCTATAGACACACACAGAGACTCGTAGACTCGCACAGAGTCTTGTAGACTCACACAGAGACCCGTAGACTCACACAGAGACTCGTAAACTCGCACAGAGATATATAGACTCACACAGAGACTCGTAGACTCACACGGAGACCTATAGACTCACACGGAGACTTGTAAACTCGCACAGAGACTCGTAGACTTGCACAGAGATCTATAGACTCACACAGAGACTCGTAGACTCACACAGAGACTCGTAAACTCGCACAGAGACTTGTAGACTCACACAGACCCATAGACTCACACAGAGACTCGTAACGCACAGAGATCTATAGACTCACACAGAGACTCGTAGACTCACACAGAGACTCGTAGACTCACACAGAGACTCGTAGACTCGCACATAGATCTATAGACTCACACAGAGACTCGTAGACTCACACAGAGACTCGTAAACTCGCACAGAGATCTATAGACTCACACAGAGACCTATAGACTCACACAGAGACTCGTAAACTCGCCCAGAGACTCGTAGACTCACACAGAGACCTATAGACTCACACAGAGACCCGTAGACTCACACAGAGACTCGTAAACTCGCACAGAGATCTATAGACTCACACAGAGACCCGTAGACTCACACGGAGACCTATAGACTCACACAGAGACTCGTAGACTCACATAGAGACACGCAAACTCGCATAGAGATCTGTAGACTTGCATAGATATCTATAGACTCGCAGAGACTCGTAGACTCACACAGAGACTCGTAGACTCACACGGAGATCTATAGACTCGTGTAGAGATCCGTAGACTCACATAGAGACACGCAAACTCGCATAGAGATCTGTAGACTTGCATAGCTATCTATAGACTGGCAGAGACTCGTAGACTCGCACAGATATCTGTAGACTCACATCGAGCTCTATAGACTCGCATAGAGATCTATAAACTCATATCGAGATTTATAGAGACCCGTAGACTCGCATACAGAGCCGTAGACTCGCGTAGACTGAGTTACGATGAACCCGGGTTCTCAAATGCGGTCTCATAAAAACCCCATAACCGTTTTTATGTTTTAACTTTCGTTAAATTCTGAACGAACTTTTCTTATTTCTTGTCCCCAGCGCCGCTCCGTTAGCGCGTGGGGACGTGTGGACACTCCGCTCTGCGAGAGTTCCGCATTCGACTACGCAACAACGGATACGGCAGCACAACTTTTTGTACATGTTTTATGAAATTCGCAGTGTGTTCCGAGTCTCGCACATTTCAAGAGATTTTCTTTTTTAGCCGAACGGGCGGCGGGTGTGGCAATCCGTAGGCCCCTCCCTGCCTCCCTCCCTCGGGTGTCGTATTCGCCACGGATGTAGCGCCTGAGCAAGTGGGAGAGCTTCCTTAGTTTGTTAACCGCCGCAGCCTCGTGATCTTTTTCGCAATCATGAGAGGCCGACCCACTGACTCTCCACCCCCCACCCCTCGTTTAAAAACGCCCTGGCAAATGGCAAACGGAGCGACGGAGCCACGGAGCCGGGCCAGGTGACGAGAGGGAACGGTTCGTGGAAAGCGCGCGACGGTTTGGGCTTTTTTTGTTTTCGTTTGACCTACCGTGGCCTTCGCAAAATCGTCGGCACGGATCACGCACTTGATGGAGGGACACGCCGTGCACACGCTGCGCTCACGGACGGACGGACAAATCGTAATCGCGTGCTACATTCCCACCCAAGGAATTCTCGCCGAGTCTGGGTTCACCATTGGAACCTCATTTGCATGTAAAAATATGATAATTGGTTTTTTACCCTTCTATCTGGCAACAAAATTGACACCTTTTTTACAAGGAGTCATGATTGCATAGACCACAATATCTGCAGTCATAATGCAAACAAAAAACATAACTCTGATAATGTATGCACTGTCCTTGAAGTTGATTGGTCCACACCCGAGACAGCTTTCCTTAGAGCCTAGTCTCACATGGGAAAGTTGTCTTGGGTGTGGACCAATCAACTTCAAGGACAGTGCACATTATCAGAGTTATGTTTTTTGTTTGCATTATGACCGCAGGTATTGTGGTCTATGCAAACATGACTCCTTGTAAAAAAAGGTGTCAGTTTTGTTGCCAGAGTCTGGGTTCGGTCAATTTTATTAACGAGGAGGTTTTTGTTGTATCCGCACGGCGCGGAAGAAGTTTACGTACGTATCTTACGTACGATCAACCCAACCCTGGGCAAAGGCCGGCTTAGCTCCCAGCAACTCGCAACCCCACCTCCTACAACACCCGGCAAGCCACGGTGGTCCCCAACCCAAAGCACTGACTGAGGTCACAATCGCTCGTACGGTCACCTCTGGGGAGAGGAGGGGCCGATCGTTGAGAGTGATCTGGTCAGAGGCCTTGGGCCAAACGTTAAAGTCTCCCTCCGTCCGCTCCCCTCCCCCCAGACGAAATGGCTTTAACAAAGTGATCACCCGCTCTGCACTTGGGTCAGACAAATGCGCACGCGGTGATTCCTCAAATGCTTTCGGAAATGTTCAAGCACCGACGACTCTAGTGACACCCTCCAGCGGATGCTTCATCTGGCGTCGCATGACCACCGAACCCCCGGCAGGGACACGATTTCACACTTCTCTCTCTCGGGGGGCGGTGGATGGGGGGGGGGGCACACACAGCCGGTGCATTATCACTTAATGTTTTACTTCCGGAGAAGTGAACTTCTGTCCGCGAGTACGAACCTCTCAAGTTCCGTCACGAGGACGTGGCCATCGGCATTACTCTGCCGATGTGCGCGGGAAACTCGATTCACTTCACACGCACACACACGTACCCGCACACACACACGTACCCGTACACACACACACGTATCCGCACACACATGTACCCGCACACATAACCGCACACACACACGTACACGCACACACACGTGTGTGGGTGTGGGTGGGTGGGTGGGTCCCGTTCACCGCCGAATCTGGGAACACGCGAGTGGCTCGGCATTTAATTTTATATAATAATAATAGTTCAATTTGTAATGCGCGCAAATTTGCAGACGTAGTGGCCGCAACTCAGAGGCGCGGCCACTATAGATGAATGCGTAGCAGCAGTAGCAGCAGCAGCAGCAGCGCCGTTGTTTTTATAAAGACGTCGGTAGTCGCCGCAGAGAACCATAGCGGCACGACCGCCGGAAACTCTACGATTGCCGGCGCCAAAAACTGTGCCACACGCCCCCCCCCCCCCCCCCCCCGCATGGCCTTGTGGGAGCTTCGATGTACCGACAAAGTTACTTCGGTGTTTCTTATTTTAACTTCCGGTTCCGGAACAAACCGACGTTCGTACGTACTTTGACGTACGTCATCAGAACACGTGTAGCTACGGCAGCGCCACCACGTGGCCAACGAGCAGTTAGCAGTTGTTGACGCGAGCGGCACTGGAAACAAGTACGGACTGTGGGCCCACACCGGCCAGAGAGACACAATTGGCCGATGAGAGAATGGAGGCGGCTCCGAGCCAACTCTCCCCCCCCACCCCCCCAACTCGTGGCTTTCTTGAGAGGAGGACGAGGAGGAGGCGGTGGAGGAGAGGCCTGGCCGTGAGAAGCCTTGCCCTGCCCGATGGCCGGGACTTGCTTCGTCACCACCGCCTGCGCTTGAGCGCGTGGATGAGGATGAGGCTCGTGAAGGACGCTGCTGGGCACCTGGCAGGCGAAGTGCACGTTGGGGACTGCTACCAGAGGTGGTCGCCCTCCAAATAACGACGGGAGGGCGGAAGAGCAACGCTCATGACGGCGAGCGGAGCACCGGGGCGGTCACAACGCAGCCAGTCGGCGCGGTGGGGGGGGGGGTGCAGCTGGTGGTACATCTGCCATTCGTCTCAGTCGGTCGACCCATGGCACTTGCTGGGTCTGTCCGTGATCTCCTGCCAGCGGGCCTCAAAGTGCACCTAGCCTGACACGAGCGTCGTGGTGACGTCGCCGCCACTTAGTGGCGAATGCCGGTTGTTGTGGTGTAGCCACCTCTGCGGTAGTGCAGTGGTTTGCGCTGCACAGCGCTACAAACCTGGCCACCTGAGTTGGATTCCCGCTCAAGGCCAACATTTGTGTCAAAAAATATGAACTGGTTCTGGGTCTCCCCGAGGTCGACTCAGCCTCAAATGAGTACCTGGTGTAGCGGTGTGTAGTAAACATCGCTAGCACTGGGGAGACAAAGGTGGCCGGGCGTGGTGCTGGCCACCCACCCCCTCTGTGTGTGCCATGTCGGCCTTCATAGGTGCTGCTGCTACTCCTCTAACAGCACTTACCCCAACCAGTCTGTTACAGGCTACACGGCGGGACCTTTGTCTTTATTTTTTCGTAAGCACCTTGAATATGAAGCACATGAAATCAACAACGGGTTAACGGCAGTAACCTGGGATAAGAGTAGATGTGGATAAAGCTTCAGCGCGGGCATTGGCGACACAATGACGCCTGAACGTTCAGAGAGAGATGGCTTAGGTGGTTTTTGGAGGTCACCG